CCGCAACAACAACAGCAGCAACAACAACAACAGCAGCAACACCAACAACCACAACAACCGCAGCAGAGAAAGAGAACGGCCCCTCCAGCGGTTCCCCAAACAATCCCCCAAGCAGCGCCACAGGCAGCTCCTCAGGCCCCCCCACCCGCACCTCCCCAACAAGCCCCACCCCGTGGATTGAAGGCAGGCACCTAGGCCGCCGTGGCCTCGGTACCCGGTCCCGCCCAAGGAAATTTCCAGTTTGTCGAGAGAAGAAAGAAGCCCGCAAAGCCAAAAGCGGACCCCCTCTTCAAACCAGAATACACCAAAATCAACATGGAGATCATTGTTGAAACCACTGCCCCATCCGACGTCAACCCCTCCGAGATCAGGACCCTCGTCAATGCAAGAATCCAAGACGAGTCCTGCCATTTCATCTCGGCAAGAAGAACACCCAAGGACAACTTCATCCTGGAAACGAAATTCGTTACCCCGGCAACAAAGGCAATGGAATATGCCAAAGAAATTGAGGAGGCCCTCCTCACCCTACAGGTACCGGTGGGCCACCATCCGTGCAAACTCCAAATGGTCAAAGTTCCTCCTCCATGGAATCCCCACAACGGTCGGGGAGGGCATTGAGGCGGGACAATTGGTAGCATCAGAAATCAGAAGCAACTATGGAGAAAATTTCCAACTTGCACAGGTCCCCCGTTTGATCTCCAGAGCAGAGACTCGAATGGAGAAAACACACTCATCAATGGTCATCGCGCTACCAGGGCAAATTACAATGGAGACCCTAGGAGTTAAATTCCTATCCCTCTTTAACCGAAGCTGCCATATCGAGGCCTTCCTCCCAACCTTCCCGGATTCCCAGTGTGCGAAGTGCCTCGAATACGGCCACCGACAGGAGAAATGTAAGAACAATGGGAAATACGGTCATTGCGCCGGAGATCACCTCACCAGTTTCCACCCATGCAATGAATGCCAGGGAGGATACAGATGCACCCACACCCCAATCAGATGCCTGAACTGTAAAGGAGCTCATAAGGCCTCCGACCCAGCATGCCCTGAGAGGGCCAAACGCCGATTCCTCAAAGGGAAGGAAAATGCCCCACCTGCCCAAGACCCACCGGCAGCACCCGTCCAAGAGTTGCTTCCAATAGTTCAAGTACCAGCCACCGCCCCGGTCGGAGCCACACCCGTTCCCGAAGACGACCAACACATGACAAATAATGCCTAGGTCCCGAAACACCGCGTTCGCACACCAACTCAATTGTGCACGGAGCGAACTCACTACCAAGGCGGCGGTAAAAGAAGCGGAAACAGACTCTAGCATTTATTTTTTATTATTACAAGAACCATGGACCTCAGTAGAAGGATACCCACCAGAATCAAATCTCTTTTATACTTTTACAGCCAGCAACACCAACACAAAATGTGCAACATATGTCCGCAAACATGCCAACCTCAAACCAAAACATCACTACACACACGATAATTTCATAGTATCGATTACGGTAGAAATCCAGAATAAGAAAACCCAAATCCTAAATATATACTCCCCAGGCCGAAGCGGCCCCTTCGCCCAAGTAGCAAGTACAATTCAAACCCTTGACAATTGCCTAGTAATGGGAGACTTCAACTGCCACCATCAAATGTGGTACGGAGTAAACTCACATGAATACAGAAACAATATTCGAGCAGACCGCGTCAACGGCGCACGGTTAAAATGATGGATAACCCGGCAGAAACTGACCCTCCTGAACGAACCAGGCGTCTTTACACACTTCCCCAGAGACAGAGGGAAAAGACCCACAATCATCGACCTCGCTTTAGTAAAAGGCTCAACACTCGACCACAACCTACGATGGAGCACTGAACCCTATGGAGCGGGCTCAGACCACGGGAGAACCTCCGTTCACTTACACTTGGAAAAACCACCATTTGTACCAAGGTGAATGTGGCGACAAACACACTGGAAGTTATTGGATAACCACATATCAAACCTTTCCCTCCCTGCAGAGGCATGGGAAACCAAGGAACACACGGAACAAACAGTCGAATTCTTCCTAGAGCTGATCAAGTCAACAATCAACATAGTTACGCCACTCTCGAAGGAGGGGGTAAGAGCAAACTCCTGGTGGTCAGACGAACTGAAACAAATGAAGGCAAAAGTAAACTCGGCAGGAAGGAAGGCGAGAAATACAAAGAACCCAAACCATGTGGAGGAACACCGGAAGGCATGCAGAGAATGGACAGTCATGATCCGGAAAGCAAAAGCAGACCAACGGGAAAAGACGATGAACGAAGCGAAAGGTAGTGAGGTCTGGAGAGTCCTTAATGCAGGAAGGAGAAGAGACACAATCATACCAATCATACAAGGTGAAGAAATGTTTGCGGGGAAGTGCCAAGCTCTAAGAGCCCAACTTTTCCCCTCAAAACGGACGTCCCCCGACCACCCCCCCCTAAACATTAGACCCCCTTCTTTTGACCTTAGCAACACCTTCGACATAGTCACCCCAGAAGAACTTAATAAAGCAATCGACTCCTGTCCAGCGCACTCAGCGACCGGCCCGGATGGCATCCCCTATACTTTTATTAAAGCAATAGTCAGAGCAAACACAACTCTAATTCAAGACATGTTCTTCGCCATGCTCCGGCATGGAGTACATCCAGCGGAATGGAAAATAGCAAAGTGCATCCCGATCCCGAAACCCGGCAAGGCAAACTATCACGAAGCGAAAGCATATCGGCCCATCTCCCCCCTACAATGCTTCAGCAAAATCCTGGAGAGGATAGTGGCTCAAAGACTCTGCACCGCTGGAGAGATTCTAGGCACACTCTGAGCGAATCAATTTGGAGGAAGACCAACGATCTCGGCAATCGACGCCCTCCTGAAAACCCTAACACCAATACAACAAAACCTACTCCTGAAAAACAGTACTGGAATCGCCCGGCGAGACAGACCAGCGATCCTAATCAACGACATCCAAGGAGCATTTAATTGTGTCGACCACCTACTCCTCGCGGAAATCATGCACCAACAAAAATTCCCCACCTATCTGACAGAATGGTGCAAGGAATTCAACACCGGCAGAAAACTACAGTTCCAATTTAACCATGAGCTAGAGGAACCACAGCCCTATGATTCTGGAGTGCCGCAAGGTAGCCCCATGTCCCCGGTATTATTTATGATCTATGCTGGAGTAATCCTGGACCTAACCAGCAGCCCAAAAGAGATGGACACAACTTACATTGATGACGATGCGCTGGTGCAAATATCCAAAACACCAGGCTTCACGATTAAGAGAATGGAGGAACGTATGAGAGAAAGACTGATCATAGCTGAGCCACTCCAAATCAAATACGACCCGGATAAATCCGATCTGATCTTCTTCCGGCCCACCACATTATCCAAACAACAACCACGACTTCCAGTCAAAGTTAACAACATCGACATATACCCCAAAGAGAGGCTGAAATACGTAGGAGTCTGGATAGATCCGACCCTCTTCTTCCGGCCCCATGTCGAAGCAGCGATCGCAAAAGGCCTGAAAGCCCTCCACCAAATCCGAAACACTGCCCGCCTGCCAGGTATAACAGTCAAGACAGTTCATCACCTAATAACGCAAGGCTTCCTTCCTAGTCTGCTCTACGGATCCGAGGCTTGGTGGACTGGTGCAGACTACATCATTAGATCCCTCGAACCACTATACAATGAAGCTGCCCGGGTCATCACAGGCCTACCTCGATGGACCAAGAGAGCTAAACTCCTCCGAGAAGCAGGACTACCCCCCCTTGAACATCTCCTGACTTATCGCTCAAGAAAGTACGGAACTAGAATACTCTCCACCGATGCAACCCACCCCAACAATGAATCCCTGATCGAGCTCCTCCCATACAGAGAAGCAAACATCAAAGGGACAGGCCTACACCGAATTGCCTCTCTCCTACTTCCATACCAAACCCCCGGAAATGCGAGAGATAAGTGGAATCAAAACAAACTACTACGCGACCACCTGTTGGAAGAATGGAATACACAACCAATACCGAATTACCACCACCGGGGGGAATTCCGCCCTCCTGTCAAGATTGCGAAACTCACCCTTATGGAAGCAAAAAAAGTATTTCAAATCCGGTGCCAAACTACCCGAATCGACAGACACGCAGTACATACAAACCCCGAACCATGCCAATGTGGTATGGAAAACTCAGCGAAACATATACTCATGGAATGCCCAGCGTGGGCTCGAAGCCGCGCCCCCCTGATAGAGAAGATCCCCGGAGCGATGACCTGGGAAAACTGGATGTTTACAAACTTGAGAACGGATCTCATCCTACAATTTGCAAAAGATTCTCAACTCTCGAAATGGTACGAGTCGGCGGAGGTGGAGGCGGACCTGTAAGAGGGGATGGAAGAAAATGATTAGGGACGGAATTGGGAAGGGTAGATTTCTCTTACTTTTTAATTTCGGTTTTATTTCTGTCTTGATGGATCCAGCGCCCGAGTTCGCTGAGATATGTTATTTCTCCTTGTCGTCGGGTTTTACTGGTTGAGTGTCGTTCCGGGATTCCCTTGTTATTGTTTGTGTTCGTTCGTGTTCGGTTTTGTTCTTGTTTGTTCGCGTTTGTTGTTTTTCTTTTCTTTTCTTTTCTTTCTGTTCGGTTTGTGTTTTAGGGGGTTGGTTCGGCGTGCGATAAGTCTTGTACTTCAAAGCAATATAAGTTTCTTCTTCTTCTTCTGTATTCTACCGGCTCGCTAAGGCTCGCAAAACTTCCTGACATTAAAACCTCGCTTCAAAACATTTTATTTTACTCCTCTTGGTTTACCCTGCTATACCATACCAGGCTGAGCCACTTCGTTCCCGATCGTACGGTCGCGTTTTGTTGTTCCAAACGAAAGAAACCTACGAAAACTGGCTTCTAGCGAAGAATTCTCCAGCCTTGAGCTCCCGAAAGGAAGGAAAAGAAACTTATCTGAAACATCACCCTACGCCGCCAGAAGAACTGGACACTCAGTCATGTCGCAGCAAGTTTCGCTCCAGTCCTTTTTCACCCAGTCTTTCCAGCAAGGGACAGCCCCCCCACAGAACAGGAACACCCAGGATCCCAACCCAACCCCATCCGGAGCACAGGAACAGGAGTTTTCCTCGACCTTTGCAACAGAATCTGACTATAACGACCCCTACCAGCCGACCATCGACTATCTCTACGCGAGTACTGTCCCCCAAACCACTCATACCCAGACAGACTTAAATTACATTACCTGGGCCATCAGACATGCCACCAGCCGGATCTGCCCACCCTCCGACAGGATTGAATACCTCGAAGAGCAATCGATCACACTCCGGAGAACAGTGGATACACTGAAACACCAAATCGAGGCGCAAACAATGATGATCACCAATATGCACTCGGCGATCCACTCCCTCCTCAACAAACAACCACATCCGCAGCAACCACAACAACAACAACAGCCGCAACAAGCGCAACAACCACAACAACCACAGAGACAGAGAAAGGCCCCTCCAGCGGCCCCTCCTGCAGCTCCCCAAACAGTCTTCCAAGCAGCGCCACAGGCAGCTCCTCAAGCACCACCATAAGCACCATCCCGTGGATGGAACGCAGGCACCTGGGCAGCCGTGGCAGCTGCCAACCCTGCCCAAGGGAAATTCCAGGTTGTCGAGAAAAGAAAGAAGCCCGCAAAGCCAAAAGCGGACCCCCTTTTCAAACCAGAATATACCAAAATCAACAGAGAAATTATCGTTGAAACCACCACCCCATCTGACGTCAACCCCTCCGAGATCAGGACCCTTGTCAACGCGAGAATTCAGGACGAATCCTGCCACTTCATTTCAGCAAGAAGAACACCCAAAGACAATTTCATCCTGGAAACAAAATTCATCACCCCGGCAACACAGGCAATGGAATATGTCAAAGAAATCGAAGAGGCCCTCCTCACCCTTCAAGTACCGGTCGTTAATATCCGGGCAAACTCTAAATGGTCAAAGTTCCTCCTCCACGGAATCCCCACAACGATCGGGGAGGGCATCGAGGCAGGACAATTGGTAGCATCTGAAATCAGAAGCAACTATGGAGAGGAATTCCAACTTGCCCAGGTTCCCCGATGGATCTTCAGAGCAGAGACTCGAATGGAAAAAACCAACTCATCAATGGTCATTGCGCTCCCAGGACAAATCACTATGGAAACACTAGGAGTCAAATTCCTATCCCACTTCAACCGAAGATGCCATATCGAGGCTTTCCTCCCAACCTTCCCAGACACCCAGTGTGCGAAATGCCTAGAATATAGCCATCGTCAGGAGAAATGCAAAAACAACGGGAAATGTGGCCATTGCGCTGGAGATCACCTCACCAGCTGCCACCCATGCAATGAATGCCAGGGAGGATATAAATGCACCCACACCCCAATCAGATGCCTGAACTGCAAAGGAATCCATGAGGCCTCCGACCCAGCATGCCCCGAAAGAGTCAAACGCCGATTCCTCAACAAAGGAAAGGAAAACGCCCCACCCGCTCAAGACCCACCGGCCACACCCGCTCAAGAGTTACTCCCAATAATTCAAGTACCAGCTACCGCCCCGGTCGGAGTCACACTCGTTCCCGAAGACGACCAACACATGACAAATAATGCCTAGGGCCCGAACCACCGCGCTCGCACACCAACTTAATTGTGCACGGAGCGAACTAACCACCAAGGCGGCGGTGGAGGAAGCGGAAACAGACTCTAGCATATTTTTCCTACTATTACAAGAACCATGGATCTCAACAGAGGGATACCCACCAGAATCAAACCTCTTTTACCTTTTCACAGCCAGCAACAGCAATACAAAATGCGCAACATACATCCGCAAACATTCCAACCTCAAACCAAAACACCACTACATATACGATAACTTCATAGTATCGATTACGGTAGAAATCCAGAACAAGAAAACCCTAATCCTAAACATATACTCCCCAGGCCGAAGTGGCCCCTTCGCCCAAATAGCAAGTACAATCCAAACCCTTGACAATTGTCTAGTAATGGGAGACTTCAACTGCCACCATCAAATGTGGTACGGAGTAAATTCACATGAATACAGAAACAACATCCGAGCAGACCGCGTTAATGGTGCTCGGCTAAAACAACAGATAACCCGACAGAAATTGACCCTCCTGAATGAACCAGGAGTCTACACTCATTTCCCCGGAGACAGAGGGAAAAGGCCCACAATCATCGACCTTACGTTCGTAAAAGGCCCGTTACTTGACCACAACCTACGATGGAGCACTGAACCCTATGGAGCGGGCTCAGACTACGGGAGAACCTCTGTCCATCTACACTTGGAAAAACCACCCTTTGTACCAAGGTGAATGTGGCGACAAACAGATTGGAAGTTATTGGATAACCACATATCAAACCTTTCCCTCCCTGCAGAGGCATGGGAAACCAAGGAACACACGGAACAAACAGTCGAATTCTTCCTAGAGCTGGTCAAGTCAACAATCAACATAGTTACGCCACTTTCGAAGGAGGGGGTAAGAGCAAACTCCTGGTGGTCAGACGAACTGAAACAAATGAAGGCAAAAGTAAACTCGGCAGGAAGGAAGGCGAGAAATATAAAGAACCCAAACCATGTGGAGGAACACCGGAAGGCATGCAGAGAATGGACAGTCATGATCCGGAAAGCAAAAGCAGACCAACGGGAAAAGACGATGAACGAAGCGAAAGGTAGTGAGGTCTGGAGAGTCCTTAATGCAGGAAGGAGAAGAGACACAATCATACCAACCATACAAGGTGAAGAAACGTTTGCGGGGAAGTGCCAAGCTCTAAGAGCCCAACTTTTCCCCTCAAAACGGACGTCCCCCGACCACCCCCCCCTAAACATTAGACCCCCTTCTTTTGACCTTAGCAACACCTTCGACATAGTCACCCCAGAAGAACTTAATAAAGCAATCGACTCCTGTCCAGCGCACTCAGCGACCGGCCCGGATGGCATCCCCTATACCTTTATTAAAGCAATAGTCAGAGCAAACACAACTCTAATTCAAGACATGTTCTTCGCCATGCTCCGGCATGGAGTACATCCAGCGGAATGGAAAATAGCAAAGTGCATCCCGATCCCGAAACCCGGCAAGGCAAACTATCACGAAGCGAAAGCATATCGGCCCATCTCCCCCCTACAATGCTTCAGCAAAATCCTGGAGAGGATAGTGGCTCAAAGACTCTGCACCTCCGGAGAAATCCTAGGCAAACTTTCAGCGAATCAATTTGGAGGAAGACCAACCATCTCAGCAGTCGACGCCCTATTAAGAATCCTAACCCCAATTCAACAAAACCTATTACTGAAAAACAGCACCGGAGTCGCCTGGCGGGACAGACCAGCGATCCTAACCAACGACATCCAGGGAGCATTTAACTGCGTAGATCACCTACTCCTCGCGGAAATCATGCACCAGCAAAAATTCCCCACCTACCTAACAGAATGGTGCAAGGAATTCAACACCGGCAGAAAACTACAGTTCAAATTCAACCATGAGCTAGAAGAACCGCAGCCCTATGATTCTGGAGTGCCGCAAGGTAGCCCCATGTCCCCGGTATTATTTATGATTTATGCCGGAGTAATCCTGGACCCAACAAGCATCCCGAAAGAGATGGACACTACATACATCGATGATGATGCGCTGGTGCAAATATCCAAACCACCAGGCTTCATAATTAAAAGAATGGAGGAATGTATGAAAGAAAGACTAATAAAAGCCGAGCCACTCCAAATTAAATACGATCCGGATAAATCCGACCTGATCTTCTTCCGCCCCACCACATCATCCATACAACAACCACGACTTCCAGTCAAGATCAACAACACCACTATATACCCCAAGGAGAGGCTGAAATATATAGGAGTCTGGATAGACCCGACCCTCTCCTTCCGGCCCCATATCGAAGCAGCGATCGCAAAAGGCCTGAAAGCCCTCCACCAAATCCGAAACACTGCCCGCCTGCCAGGTATAACAGTCAAGACAGTTCATCACCTAATAACGCAAGGCTTCCTTCCTAGTCTGCTCTACGGATCCGAGGCTTGGTGGACTGGTGCAGACCACATCATTAGATCCCTCGAACCACTATACAATGAAGCTGCCCGGGTCATCACAGGCCTACCTCGATGGACCAAGAGAGCTAAACTCCTCCGAGAAGCAGGATTACCCCCCCTAAAACACCTCCCGACACATCGCTCAAGAAAGTACGGAACCAGAATACTCTGTACCGATGCAACCCACCCCAACAATGAACCCCTGATCGAGCTCCTCCCATACAGAGAAGCGAATATCAAAGGGACAGGCCTACACCGAATCGCCTCCCTCTTACTCCCATACCAAACCCCCGGAAATATGAGAGACAAGTGGAACCAAAACAAACTATTACGCGACCAACTGTTAGAAGAATAGAACACACAACCAATACCTAACTACCACCATCGGGGGGAATTTCGCCCCCCCCCCAAGATTGCAAAATTCACCCTTACAGAAGCAAAGAAGGTATTTTGAATCCGATGTCAAACCACCCGGATCGACAGACACGCAGTACACACAGACCCCGAACCATGCCAGTGTGGGATGGAAAACTCAGCGAAACATACACTTATGGAATGCCCAGTGTGGGCTCGAATCCGTGCCTCCCTGATAGAGAAAATCCCCGGAGCGATGACCTGGGAAAATTGGATGTTCACAAACCTGCAAAGGGACCTTATCCTACAATTTGCAAAAAAATCTCAACTCTCGAAATGGTACGAGTCGGCGGAGGCGGAGGCGGACCTGGACGAGGGATAGAAGAAAATGATTAGGGACGGGATTAGGAAGGGCAGTTTCCTTTTACCTTTTAATTTCGGTTTTATTTTTGGTTTGATGGATCCAGCGCCCGAGTCCGCTGAGATATGTTATTTCTACTTGTCGTTGGGTTTTCTGGTTGAGTGTTGTTCCGGAACTTCCTTGTTTTTGTTTGTGTTCGTTTTTGTTAGCTTTTGTTCTTGTTTGTTCGTGTTCGGTGTTTTTTTCTTTCCTTTTTCTTTTCTTTTCGGTTCGGTTCGTGTTTTAGGCGGTTGGTTCGGCGTGCGATAAGTCTTGTACTTCAAAGCAATATAGGTTTCTTCTTCTTCTTCTGTATTCTACTCGCTCGCCTCTGGCTCGCGATAGGATTTCTTTCCCCCGAGATGGAGTTATACTGATTCTCGAATTGCTTCGGTCCCTGAACTTCCCTCACTCGACACCCCCCCTTCTTTGCTCGTTCGGTGCCCTCACGGGATGCGTCCACCGTTCACCCCTCGCCAAACCAGCGGCTACTCTCGAAAGCCGCCTTCGCCCCTCCTTATTTTCACTCATCGCACGAGTGATCCCACACGTCGGGTTCGCACACTGTCAGTAATCATTAGTCAGCGAGAACCTACTGCCAAAGAGCTCGACAGCCCGCGAAGTTAGTGACCTTTCGGTCGTGAAACTATCGTCAAATTTTTTACCCGAGGCTCCGTGACCTTACCCCTCCCTATCGGCCTTAACCAGGCAACCCTTTCTCAACCGAGACGGCCCGCTACCTTCACCCATTTCTATCGGTCCCCGAGACCACCCCTCAACCCAATACGGTCGGCACTTTCGATTGCGACCCCCATAAATAACGGAGTCTCAGACTCCCCCCCCCTCCTGCATGTCCCCTCCAGAGGGCACCACTCCAAACACGACTCGGGAACAGTCTTTAGCCGTTGCTCCTGGGACCGACGACCCCACCAATTTTTTACCTGACCAACCGGTCACCACTCCTCAATTCCTCGCTGCCTGACAACCAGATGCCCGAGGACCTATATTCGACCCACCCCCCCTCGCTTTCACCCCTGACGCTGTTGCGGTTGGCCTTTCCTGCCTTCGTGTGCGTGGTTTCCCAGTCCTGTTAAGGTTCGTCCACAGATATGACACCGGGAACCTTGGTAATGATACCGTTTCGGTTGAACACCATGTTTAGGATTGTTCTCGCTAATGTAGTTGACGGAGAAGTTTGGGGTTCTTTCTTTCTTACTACGGGGAGGTTTCTTTGTTGTCGCTTAGATTCTGCTTACCTGTACCACGTGTTATTTGCGTCCTCCTCGTGCGCGGTTTTTCTTATCATGTACGTAGTTCTCGTAGCTGCGGTAGTTAGTTTGTGTACTTCGTACTTTGTTTTTGTTTTTGGGTTAGCCGGTGGAGATTGTAGTCGGGTAGTTAGGTGTGCGATAAGCTTCGGCTTCGATGCAATATAAGATTCTCTCTCTCTCTCTGTATTTTACTCCACGAATATTATTCTTCTTCTACGCTACGTCATAGGGTTCAGTTTGATTGTCAGATGAAACAGAGCTACCCCATAGTCCATAGTTACGAATATCTTCTACCACGTTCTTGCCTCGGTTGTATTTCTTGGCATCATAGTTCCTTGCCTACAACATCATAATTTACCATGTCGGAACACGCCTCCATTGATTATCAACAACTCAACAATAACCTCCAAACCTTTTTTCAAGTGCACCCACAGGTCGACAATGTTGTCGGTACCGAAGCCTATACGCTGCTCCAACAGTGTCAACATGGTCTTGCTCAATATAAGACGGATTTACAGGAGGTAGAAGCGAAGGCTGAGAGGGCAAGAAGAATGTTCGAGCGAAATCTTGCTGCTGCCCGAGCTCAACAGGCTCCTGTTGAGGTTGCTGCCCCTAACGAAGGACCCATCGGAGACAATGATCTACCTGTACCCCCAGTACCACCGGCTACATGTACTATCTATCGGTCAGAAAAGCTTCCAGATCCTGAGGTGTTCAGGGGGGATCGTGATCGAGAAAGACTACACCTGTTCAAGCAACAAATAAGAATCAAGCTATTCGGAAATGCCGATCCCTACCACTGGCACACCCTACAGTCTAAGTTATCTTGTGCGTTCAGCAGATTGGAAGGCGTTGCTGCCAATCATTTTTACAGTATGTCGGAGAAAGAGGTATTACCTTGCCTTTTATGCTATGGTTTTATGAAATTTTGGATACAGCTTTGGGGACTCCGATCGAATGCGCACAGCTAGAAGGAACCTCCGGAATATCCGTCAATGAAATCGAACGTTCGCCGACTATTTTGCTGAGTTTCAACGGTATGCTGCTGAGTCGGGTATGGATGAAGTCTCTCGGATTGAAGCTTTGATGGAAGGTATTAATGCGGAACTCGATGAATCAATGATACACCATGAAACTCCTACGATGGTAGACGCCTGTGCGACACTTTTGCAACGGTTGAATAATCGCCGTCGAGCGGCAGAAGCTAAACGAGGAAATAAAAAGCCTTGGAATTTTGGTACTACTCCGGCCCCTCATCCCCCACCAGCGAATCCTGTTTCTGCTCCCCGTACTGCCATCCCAGTCGCCAATGCAGCTGCTACTGAAAACCATCCCTCGTTCTGCCCGGGAGGTGATGTACTAATGGATCTGTCTGGAGGACGTCGTCGCCCCTCCCCTGCCGAAAGAAATGCCCGCTTAGTTGAGGGCCGATGTTTCTATTGCGGAGGTGTTGGACACATGTTTAGGGATTGCCCCCAAGCGAAGGCAACTGGAAAGCAACATAGGAGGCCTATGATGAGAGGAGCAGCATTGACGGTGGAGGAGAATGATGGAAGCGATAATGAATCGGCAAAAGATTTGTCCCTGAACTAAGTGGCTTAGTACAGGGACCGTTTAAGGATTTTTCTAGGATGTGTATTTCTGGTTTTTCGGTATCAGAGGAGGAAATGGATGGAAATCAACTTGTAGTAACTTGTTCAATTTCACAGAATAAAAACTCCTTCATCCCCACCTACCCTCTTATTGATACCGGAGCATCAGAATATGCTTTTATTGAAGAATCTTTTGCACGCCACAACAATCTTACAATGACACTCCTTAAAATACTTCGCCATGTAGACGTTATCGATGGAAGACCTATTAAGTCAGGAAAAATTACCCATATTGTCGATGTCTCGCTAGACATTCATGGTCATCGGGAGACGGCGTCATGTTTTGTGACGAAGTTAGGACATTACCTGATTGTGATGGGGATACCTTGGATGCCATGACATGATGTTACGATTCGACCAAAAGAAAATCTACTGATTTTTGACTCTTGGAACTGTTGTCAACACTGTTCACTTATTGGAACTGCAGTTATCATTCATGGCATCTCGATTCCCTTACCAGAACTCCATACAGTCATCGTTTCAGCAACTGAAAAATCTACCATCGACATCGAAGAGTTAGTACCGAAGGAGTTTCATCATCGTCTCCATATGTTCAAAGAATATGACGCTTCAATCCTTCCACCACATCGACCATCCCATGATATTGAAATAGTGTTAGAAAAAGGCAAACGACCACCATATGGACCTATATATGGATTGTCTTAAATCGAATTGAAAGCACTACGGGAATATCTTGATGAAAATTTACCCAAAGGATTTATTCGGGCTAGTGAATCACCAGCGGGAGCACCTATATTGTTTGTAAAGAAAAGTGATGGAACTCTTCCACTTTGTGTTGACTATCGAGGCTTAAATGTGATCACAATCAAAAATCGATATCCATTACCATTGTTAAAGGAAACTCTGGCTAAGCTGTCAAGAGCACAATACTATAGCAAGTTGGATTTACGATGGGGATATAATCAAATCAGGATAGCGGAGGGAGATGAATGGAAAACGGCATTCCGGACGTGATATGGACATTTCGAATATACAGTGATGCCGTTTGGATTAGCTAATGCCCCTGCTATATTTCAACATTGGATCAATAATATTTTACGTCCCTATCTCGACCAATTCGTAACGGCATACTTAGACGATATCCTTATCTATTCCGAGGCTCTATCAGAACATAAAGAACACATTCAAAAGGTTCTAAAGATACTTGATGAGAATCATGTTCACCTTAAACCTGCAAAATGTGAATTTATGGTTCAGGAAACAAAATATCTCGGTTTAATCCTTACTCTGAATGGAAATAGAATGGACCCAAAAAAGTTTGTCGATGTTTTGGAATGGTCCACACCAACAAACCTTCATAATGTTCAAGTATTCCTAGGATTTGCAAATTTCTATCGACGGTTTATTTTAGGATATTCGAAAATTGTTGCTCCACTTACAACTTTGACAAAGAAAAACGTTAAGTTTGAATGGACGGATGAAAGGGAGCAAGCATTTCAAACTTTGAAAAAGATATTTAAAATGGCACCAATCCTAGCTCATTTTCATCCGGATCGAAGGATTGTCAAAGAAACCGATGCATCTGATTATGTTTCAGCAGGAATCCTATCTCAATGTGATGATGAAGGAATCCTACATCCAGTCGCTTTCTTCTCTAAAAAACACTCTTCTACAGAGTGCAACTATGAAATCTATGACAAAGAACTTTTAGCAATTATACGATGCTTCGAAGAATGGCGACATCACCTGGAGGGAGCTCAATTTCCAATTGAAGTTCTTAGCGACCATCGGAATCTTGAATATTTTAGGCTGCTTTTGGAAGCCGTCCAAATCGTGGTTGCAACGGGTCAAATTATGATCCTGGAAGAAATGTGAGTTCCGGAATTTTTTGTTGTTTGGATCCGCACTTTCAGGATCCGGGGAATCATGATTCCTGCAATTCTTTTTTTTTCCTGTTGCAACCCAATTCAATTCTGTGAGAGCTTTCTATCTCCGCACCAGACACAACCCCTCAAACAGCCTGAGAATCTGATTCTATGCCTACTACCCAACAACTAATGCCTCCAAAATCCAAAGCAGTTTGGGACGATGAAAAAGACAAGCTATTGTTAAAGCTTTTATTGAAGCAAATAAAAGCTGGCAAGCGGTAAGATAATGGTTTTAAGAAAGAGGCATGGGTACAGATAACTGCGGATTTCAACTCTGTTTTTCCGCCTGATTGTGAAAGAGAGCAGGTTAAAACCCGTGTTTTTGCAGTAAGTGGATATGAGCATGTATATTATTTCAGTTATAGATTTAATAAGAGTCATAGTTGAAAAAAAAATTGGATATTTTTCAAAAGCTTTGCGAGAATTCGGGTTTCGGTTGGGATTCTGAAAGAAAAATCCCGACCGCTCCTGACGATGTCTGGGATACATATATTCAGGTGTTTTTCTTATCTTCTAAACAGTACTATCTACAGATGCTAATGTGTAACATACAATAGTATCATAAAGACGCAAAGTAATTCTGATACAGAACTTTACCGCACCATGATATGTTATACGAAATATTCTCAAAATCGGTTGCGACTGGCCTATTTGCTTCTGCTACTACACAATCTCAATCTAGTGCTTCTTCATCTACATAACCAGTTTCTACCGATGATTTTGAAAACCAATACACGGATATAAACGGTAAAAAGTCAGATTAAGATGATCCTCTACATATATCTGAGTCACGGCATAGTACACCTATTCCTACGTTCAGTCGGAAACTTGTGAGAACTGAAACGGAAAGCTCATCATCAATTTCAGCCCAAACATACAATACAACTGCAAAGAAACCACGGACTGCTACACATGCTGCAGCGGAGGGCTTGCATGAGCTTGCAAAAGCTTTCAAAGATGCCAAACAAATCTGTGCACCACCGCCTATTACCAAACTCGAACAAGTATTAGACAGAATGACCGAATTTGTTGAAGAAGGGAAATGGTCAGAAGAGGATTATATGATGGCATATGAAATAATGTGGAAGGATGAGAGGCATGCAATCTTTTTCTGTAGTGCACCAGAACATATCAAATTGGGCTGGGTCAAAAAGAATAAATCAGTGTCGGATACAATAGATAGGGTAGAAAACACTGCAGAGGACGTATAAATATACCCATCCGTCCCTGTTGCAGATGTACCTAATATAATCGCGCCATATTTGATCGGCAATTTTGTCTCTTGCTTTGCTTGCTAAATCATGTTCAGATCTTGTAGGTGGCCGGATCGTTCTTCCTTGATCACTCAAACTGTTGGACCCATAATCAAGTCTTTCATTCTCCAAATCCATCTCATCCAATGCTAAATCAAAAAAGGGATCCAAACCATCAAGGCTATGCATTCGTATAAAGTTGTGTAAATAGTAAAGTGCTTTCACCAACCGCACCTGTATCTCAAGCTTGTACTCACATTGAGTCTTCAAAACTGGAAAGCGCTTCTTTAATACACCAAAAATTCTTTCCACCGCATTACGCAGGGAAGCGTGTCTTAAATTGAACAGCTCTTTCGCATTCTCTGGTCTTTGTTTACCTTGTGCAAACTCCTTCAAGTGGTAGCGAACACCTCTATAAGGAGTGAGAAAGTGCGGAGTCAAACCGTAGCCAGAGTCAGCTAAATAATCTTTATTGCCAGTGTTCGGCATAGTAAAACGTTTCGTCAATGCGTCTTTAAGGACTTTGCTGTCATTCACTGATCCCTCCCATCCAGCAAGAAAATATTGGAAAGTGAGATCAAAAGAGCAGACAGCGAGAATATTTTGAGCCATGAAACCCTTACGGCATCTATATGCTGCTGCTGGAACATTAGCTCCAGCAATCCGAACGGCCATCAAAGACCCGTCAATTGCACCTATGCAGTCTTTAAATACGGATAGAATTTAGGATTGCTGGTAATCTCGATTGGAGTTGGTACGTCGCGAGATGGTTCAGTTTCGGTAGGTAGCGTTATGTATTTTGAACTCATATCATCAAGCGTATTCAAAACTTTGTTCAAATATCTATTTACTGTTTCCCCCGAGTGCTGGAAATGACTTGCTGTAACGCGAGTAACAGCGGAGTTCGTTACCATATAGGTAAACATAAGAACCTGCTGTTCAACAGATACAAAGCGGGAATCGCTCAAGTAACCTCCTTTCCTAAAAGCCTGGCACAGTGAATTAAAAACAGGTCGTTCCATTCTCATCTCCTCCCGGAAAAACCTGGGGTTATTGCAATCCAAAACTTCTTGGGTCCACTGCTCTCCAGAAAGCTTAGAGGTATTGAATGGGTCTCTTACTAAAGGAGCCAAAACTGTCGTGCTGTAAATTCCTCCTAACAACAAGAGGAGGTTTTGCTCAGAATCGGAATCATCTGAATTCATTCCAAAATGTATCGGGGCCGAATAGCTGAAGGTTGATAAAAATAGGTAGTGAACTCAGAACTAGTGAGCCAGAGGGTAGCACAAGAGGGTACTAGTAGTGGGGCAATACAGTAGACGAGTAGCGGGGCCAGACAGTAGGCGAGTAGCAGAGCCAGACAGCAGGGCCAGACAGTAGGGGAGTAGGAGAGCCAGACACTTAGAGGTTGCAGGCTAATGCTGAGGACGCAGATGTATAAGTCGAAAGGGTCGAGGTCGCGGGGTCGCGGGTCGCGGGTCACGGATCGTGAGGTCACGAGGTCACAGGTCGCAATACTATAACTCTAGTAGTTTTATTAGTTTGATATATTAATCAGGTAGGATTGTATCTCACTTGAAATAAAGTATGACGGATGATAAGTGGTGATTGTGACAGATAAGTGGTCATGGTGACGGATAATGGATGGTGATGGTGGATGGGGTTGCACTGACCGTTTGGCTTACCAAATCACACTTTGAGCGGATTGTATTTTGCAACCTCCAAATCGAATTTTGCGGGGATCGTGGTTGCTACGAGACAGTGCCTCCAAACGGAGCCTTATGACAACAAAATTGTTAAATCATCGACAAGCCCGTTGGTCCGAGTTTCTCTCATGCTTCGATTTCGTTATACAATTTCGGCCAGGAAAACAAGGAACGAAACCAGATGCATTGACTAGGAGGTCAGGTGATCTACCTAAAGAGGGGTATGAACGGTTGACACATCAGAGTCCAGTGATTTTGAAGCGAAAAAATTTGGATACAAAGCTAAGTTTGTTCGCGGGTTCTTTGTCAAATAAATCCACTGAAGGAGCGTCCACTGTAGAGGAGTTATTTTCAAAAGCTTACCAAGTTGATAGTTTTTCAAACAAGATCCTCACTATGCTTCGGCATGGTGTTCGCCACTCGAACAAAATTTCGTTTGCTGAATGCACGGAGTATAACAACGTTCGGCTACTTTATCGAGATGCACTATATGTATCAGAGGACAATGACCTTCGGCTAAGGCTCCTAAAAGAACACCATTACAAACTATCGGCAGGTCATCCAGGCAGAGCAAAGACATTAGAACTTCTAAATCGAGAATATTATTGGCCACAGATGCGAAGATATGTCGATCAATATGTTAGGAATTGCAATGTGTGCGCCCGTAGTAAGGCGCTTCGAAATGCACCTTATGGAGTACTTCGCCCGATGCCAATACCTGATGGACCGTGAGCGGATGTATCAATGGATTTTGTTACCGATCTCCCTGAGAGCGACGGATATAATTCAATTTTAGTTGTGGTGGATAGATTAACCAAAATGCGACATCTAATACCAACGACTAAAGAGGCAGATTCAAGGGAAGTAGCGAGGCTATGCATCGATAATGTTTGGAAGCTACATAGACTACTTAATACCATTGTATCTGATCGAGGAACACAGTTTGTTGCGGAGTTTTGGAAGTCGCTTTATGATCGGTTGGAAATATCGTCGAGATTCTCTACCGCATTTCATCCTCAGACAGATGGACAAATGGAAAGAATCAGTGTCGTAATGAAACAATACCTTCGAAGCTATGTATCTTATCAACAGGACGATTGGGCTCGATTGTTATCAATGGCCGAGTTTGCGACAAATAATCATGTTTCGGAAACAACAAAAGTCTCTCCTTTTTATGCCAATTCGGGAAGAAATCCAAGGATGACTTTTGGTCCTTTGGAACATTCTCGAATAACGGTAGAGGATCAAGCTAATCGTATTGTAAAAGAAATAAAGGATGTAGTGGATTTTCTAAGAGAAGAGATGTTTCGGGCGCAAAGGATACAAGAAGAGTCAGCTAATAGGAATCGGACTCCAGCTCCTCGTTACTATTTAGGAGATAAAGTTTCCTATCGACACATCATATTCTAACAAAGTGGCCTTCTATGAAATTCGACTGGAAACGTATTGGACCTTATAGCGTTAAGCGAATCGTCAATCCCTATGCTTACAAGTTGGCACTTCCCCGCTCAATGAAAATTCATCTAGTATTTCATGTTTCGTTATTGTCACCCGAAGCAAATGATCCTTTACCAGGACAACAACAATTACCACCAACTCCGGTTGAAATCGAAGGGGAGGAAGAATGAGAAGTTGAAGATATTTTGGATTCGAGGAAACGAAGAGGAAGGCTTGAGTATTTAGTACGATATGTAGGATATGATGAAGCCTCCTGGCAACCACTATCGGAGCTTGAACATTCACCTGATATCGTCAAACAATTCCACGAGTGTTATCCAGGGAAGCCCAAGCCTACCAGGAGGTAGGCATTAGAGGGGGGCGTGGTCTGTAACGGCAACTATGCATTTCGGTTAGTGATAAATTGGGATACGAAGGGGAAGTATTGTGTAGTGGGATTATGATTTGTAATGGGGGTTTCTGTTATGTTCTTTTAGTTTCTGTTATGCGGAGGTATTAGTCATCATTGAATTAGGGTCGGATATATAAGGGGGCGTTGCTTTATGTTTTTATCTGTTTTCTTTCTTTCCTTCTTTCTTTACGCAACCCCTGCATTCTACTTGCTCGCTAAAGCTCGCAAAGAACTCCCTGATAATCAACCTCGCTTTAAAAACACTTTATTTTACTCCTCTCGGTTTACCCTGGTATACCATACCAGGCTGAGCCACTTCGTCCCCGATCGTACGGTCGCGTTTGCTGTTCTAAGCGAAAGAAACATACGAAAACTGGCTTCTAGCGAAGAATTCTCCAGCCTTGACCTCCCGAAAGGAAGGAAAAGAAACTTATCCGAAACCTCACTCTACGCCGCCAGAAGAACTGGACATTCAGTCATGTCGCAGCAAGCTTCGCTCCAGTCCTTTTTTACCCAGTCTTCCCAGCAAGGGACAGTCCCCCCGCAGAATACGAATACTCAGGTTCCCGACCCAACCCCATCCGGAGCACAGGAACAGGAGTTTTCCTCGACCTTTGCAACAGAATCTGACTATAACGACCCCTACCAGCCGACCATCGACTATCTCTACCCGAGTACTGTCCCCCAGGATACTCACACCCAGACGGACCTGAACTATATTACCTGGGCCATCAGACATGCCACCAGCCGGATCTGCCCACCCTCCGACAGGATTGAAATCCTCGAAGAGCAAACGACTACACTCCGGAGAACAGTGGATACACTGAAACATCAAATCGAGGCCCAGACAAACATGATCACCAACATGCATTCGGCGATCCACGCCCTCCTCAGTAAACAACCACAACCGCAGCAACCGCAACAACAGCAGCAACAACAACAACAGCAGCAACACCAACAACCACAACAACCGCAACAAAGAAAGAGAGCGGCCCCTCCAGCGGTTCCCCAAACAACCCCCCAAGCAGCGCCACAGGCAGCTCCTCAGGCCCCCCCACCCGCACACCCCCAACAAGCCCCACCTCGTGGATGGAAGGCAGGCACCTGGGCCACCGTGGCCTCGGCACCCGGTCCCGCCCAAGGAAACTTCCAGGTCATCGAGAGGAGAAAGAAATCCGCAAAGCCAAAAGCGGACCCCCTCTTCAAACCAGAGTACACCAAAATCAACAGGGAGATCATTGTTGAAACTACTGCCCCATCCGACGTTAACCCCTCCGAGATCAGGACCCTTGTCAATGCAAGAATCCAAGACGAGTCCTGCCATTTCATCTCGGCAAGAAGAACACCCAAGGACAACTTCATCTTGGAAACAAAATTCGTCACCCCTGCAACAAAGGCAATGGAATATGCCAAAGAAATTGAGGAGGCCCTCCTCACCCTACAGGTACCGGTCGCCGTCATCCGCGCAAACTCCAAATGGTCAAAGTTTCTCCTCCATGGAATCCCCACAACGGTTGGGGAGGGCATTGAGGCGGGACAATTGGTAGCATCAGAAATCAGAAGCAACTATGGAGAGAACTTCCAACTTGCCCAGGTTCCCCGCTGGATCTCCAGGGCAGAAACTCGAATGGAGAAAACCCACTCATCAATGGTCATCGCGCTCCCAGGACAAATTACAATGGAAACACTAGGAGTTAAATTCCTATCCCTCTTCAACCGAAGCTGCTACATCGAGGCCTTCCTCCCAACCTTCCCGGATGCCCAGTGTGCGAAATGCCTCGAATACGGCCACCGCCAGGAGAAATGTAAGAACAATGGGAAATGCGGCCACTGCGCCGGAGATCACCTCACCAGTTTCCACCCATGCAATCAATGCCAGGGAGGATACAGATGCACCCACACCCCAATCAGATGCCTGAACTGCAAGGGAATCCATAAGGCCTCCGACCCAGCATGCCCTGAAAGAGTTAAACGCCGATTCCTCAATAAAGGAAAGGAAAATGCCCCACCCGCCCAAGACCCACCCGCCGCACCCGCCCAAGAGCTACTTCCAATAATCCAAGTACCAGCCACCGTCCGGTCGGAGCCACACCCGTTCCCGAAGACGACCAACACATGACGAATAATGCATAGGCCTCGAACAACCGCGCTCGCACACCAACTTAACTGTGCACGGAGCGAACTAATCACCAAGGCGGCGGTGGAAGAAGCGGAAACAGACTCGAGCATTTATTTCGTACTATTACAAGAACCATGGACCTCAACAGAGGGATATCCACCAGAATCAAATCTCTTTTACCTTTTTACAGCCAGCAACATCAATACGAAATGCGCAATATACGTCCGCAAACATGCCAACCTTAAACCAAAACACCACTATACACATGATAACTTCATAGTATCGATTACGGTAGAACTCCAGACCAAGAAAACCCAAATCCTAAACATATACTCCCCAGGCCGAGGTGGCCCCTTCGCTCAAATAGCAAGTACAATCCAAACCCTTGATAACTGTCTAGTAATGGGAGACTTCAACTGCCACCATCAAATGTGGTACGGAGTAAATTCACATGAATACAGAAACAATATTCGAGCAGACCGCGTCAACGGCGCACGGTTAAAACGATGGATAACCCGGCAGAAACTGACCCTCCTGAACGAACCAGGCGTCTTTACGCATTTCCCCAGAGACAGAGGGAAAAGGTCCACAACCATTGACCTTGCATTTGTAAAAGGCCCAACACTTGACCACAACCTACGATAGAGCACTGAACCCTACGGAGCGGGCTCAGACCACGGGAGAACCTCCGTTCACTTACACTTGGAAAAACCACCTTTGGTACCAAGACGAATGTGGCGACAAACAGACTGGAAGCTATTGGAGAACCACATGTCAAACATTTCCATCCCTGCAGAGGCATGGGAAACCAAGGAACATACGGAACAAACTGTCGATTTCTTCTTAGAACTGGTCAGGTCAACAGTCAGCATAGTAACACCACTCTCGAAGGAGGGGGTAAGAGCCAACTCCTGTTGGTCAGATGAAATGAAACAAATGAAGGCAAGGGTAAATGCAGCAGAAAGGAAGGCGAGAAACACAAGGAAACCCAATCACGTGGAGGAACACCGGAAGGCTTGCAGAGAATGGACAGTCATGATCCGGAAGGCAAAAGCGGACCAGCGGGAAAAGACGATGAACGAGGCGAAAGGTAGTGAAGTCTGGAGAATCCTAAATGCAGGAAGGAGACGAGACACAATCATACCAACCATACAAGGTGAAGAAACGTTCACGGGGAAGTGTCAAGCTCTAAGAGCCCAACTTTTCCCCTCGAAACGGACGTCCCCCGACCATCCCCCCTTAAACATCAGACCCCCCTCTTTTGACCTTAGCAACACCTTCGACATAGTCACCCCTGAAGAACTTAACAAAGCAATCGACTCCTGTCCAGCGCACTCGGCGACCGGCCCGGATGGCATCCCTTATACCTTTATTAAAGCAATAGTCAGGGCAAACACAACTCTAATTCAAGACATGTTCTCCACCATGCTCCAGCACGGGGTACACCCAGCGGAATGGAAAATAGCAAAGTGTATCCCGATCCCGAAACCCGGTAAAGCAAACTATCATGAAGCGAAAGCCTACCGGCCCATTTCCCTTCTACAATGTTTCAGCAAAATCCTGGAGAAGATAGTGGCCCAAAGACTCTTCACCGCTGGAGAAATCCTGGGCACACTCTCAGTAAACTAATTCGGAGGAAGACCAACCATCTCGGCAATTGACGTCCTCCTGAAAACCTTAACACCAATACAACAAAACCTACTACTGAAAACAGTACCGGAATCGCCCGGCGAGACAGACCAGCGATCCTAACCAACGACATCCAAGGAGCATTTAATTGTGTCGACCACCTACTCCTCGCGGAAATCATGCACCAACAAAAATTCCCCACCTATCTGACAGAATGGTGCAATGAATTCAACACCGGCAGAAAACTACAGTTCCAATTTAACCATGAGCTAGAAGAACCACAGCCCTATGATTCTGGAGTGCCGCAAGGTAGCCCCATGTCCCCGGTATTATTTATGATCTATGCCGAAGTAATCCTGGACCTAACCAGCAGCCCAAAAGAGATGGACACAACTTACATTGATGACGATGCGCTGGTGCAAATATCCAAAACACCAAGCTTCACAATCAAGAGAATGGACGAACGAATGAGAGGAAGACTAAGTAAAGCCGAGCCACTCCAAATTAAATACGACCCAGATAAATCCGACTTGATCTTCTTCCGGCCCACCACATCATCCACACAACAACCACGACTTCCAGTCAAAGTTAACAACATCGACATATACCCCAAAGAGAGGCTGAAATACGTAGGAGTCTGGATAGATCCGACCCTCTTCTTCCGGCCCCATGTCGAAGCAGCGATCGCAAAAGGCCTGAAAGCCCTCCACCAAATCCGAAACACTGCCCGCCTGCCAGGTATAACAGTCAAGACAGTTCATCACCTAATAACACAAGGCTTCCTTCCAAGTCTGCTCTACGGATCCGAGGCTTGGTGGACTGGCGCAGACCACATTATAAGATCCCTCGAACCACTATATAATGAAGCGGCCCGGGTCATCACCGGCCTACCACGATGGACCAAGAGAGCTAAACTCCTCCGAGAAGCAGGCCTACCCCCCTTAGAATACCTTCTGACATACCGCTCAAGAAAGTACGGAACCAGATTACTCTGTACTAATGCAACCCACTCCAACAATGAATCCCTGATCGAGATCCTCTCATACAGAGAAACAAACATCAAAGGAAGAGGCCTACACCGAATCGCCTCCCTCTTACTCCCATACCAAACCCCCGGAAATATGAGAGACAAGTGGAACCAAAACAAACTATTACGCGACCAACTGTTAGAAGAATGGAACACACAACCAATACCTAACTACCACCATCGGGGGGAATTTCGCCCCCCCCCCAAGATTGCAAAACTCACCCTTACAGAAGCAAAGAAGGTATTTCGAATCCGATGTCAAACCACCCGGATCGACAAACATGCAGCACACACAGACCCCGAACCATGCCAGTGTGGGATGGAAAACTCAGCGAAATATACACTTATGGAATGCCCAGCGTGGGCTCGAATCCGTGCCTCCCTGATAGAGAAAATCCCCGGAGCGATGACCTGGGAAAATTGGATGTTCACAAACCTGAAAACGGACCTTATCTACAATTTGCAAAAAAATCTCAACTCTCGAAATGGTACGAGTCGGTGGAGGCGGACGCGGACCTGGAAGAGGGGATGGAAGAAAATGATTAGAGGCGGGATTAGGAAGGATAGTTTCCTTTTACCTTTTATTTCTTGTTTCGTTCTTTTTTGATGGATCCAGCGCCCGAGTTCGCTGAGATATGTTATTTCTCCTTGTTGTTGGGTTTTTCCGGTTACGGTCTGCTCTTGAATTTCCTTACCGTTGTTCGTGTTCGTTTTATTTCTTGTTTTGTTCGTTGTTTTCTTTCCTTTGTTTTGTTCGGTTTTGTTCGGTTTCGTTTAGGCGGTTGGTTTGGCGTGCGATAAGTCTTGTACTTCAAAGCAATATAAGATTCTTCTTCTTCTTCTTCTGTATTTTATTTCACGAATGTTATTCTTGTTCTATGCTACGTCATAGAGTTCAGTTTGATTGTCAGATAAAACAGAGCCGCCCCATAGTCCATAGTTACGAATATCTTCTACCACGTTCTTGCCTCGGTTGTATTCCTTGGCATCATAGTTCCTTGCCCATAGACCCACGTTATAGTTCACCCCGATCTACTAGACCTGAAAACAAAACCGCGTACCTCCAACAATCTGGACTGAACTCCGGACTCTGCCAAATACTAACCTAGTAGCCCCATCGGACACTAAAGGGATCTTCTCGAGTAACTGAGGAGCAACCCTAACTGATTCCAACTTCTTTCCTGACTTTGGTTGCGTACTCTCTGAACCATACATAAATGAGAATCAAGAACCAGCAACAGGCGCAGCAACAGGCCCAGCAACAGACCCACTTGCAGCAGTCTCCATTACCTCTTCAGCATCGTCCACTGCTTCTCAACACGTACCAGTGATGCACCAGAAGTTCTTGTACAGATGACTTTACTTAGGATTAGTGCTACCCCACTACTACCCGCTAGTGCTCCCAAAAGAATATTGCCCGGAAGATCATAATCTCAGGTCAAGTTCTCACTCAGTCCAAGTCTAGTGCAGTCCACTCAATAGGCCCAGCAGCAATAGGCCCAGCAATAGGCCTAGCAATAGGTCGCTCAATAGGCCCAGTAGCCTCTACTACTCCCTCACTAGCATCCATCAATGCTCCACTGAACGCTCTTGTACCGAAAACTCCTACATTCAAGCCCTGATGCCCCTCTCAATTATTTTCTAGTGCAAGTCTGTCCGAACTAATAAACCACCCCTCACTAGTTCAAAAGAGATATATTGGACCCAAGCCATCGCAGATTGTCCAAGAGACATGCCCAAGTCCAAGGGCATTCATGATGACTCAAGGAAGCAAAGCTAAGATGAGTTTTGGTTTACACAACCTACGTAAAGTATATACCAGCATCCACAACAGTCTAAAGGCGGAAATGCAAAACGTAGGTTGGGTCAATAACAATAAGTTCAGATTGGCTGCATTTAATGCCCTATGCCTTTAATTAATGAGCCTGCCCTCCCTCAATGGTTTTGTGCCAATTTGAACTGGGATTGACTCCGATACCCGTAGAGTACTAGTGAGTACTCTACAGTGGCTCATTGTGGATGTTGATATGAAGGATAAGGTATTAAGGGGATAGGGAGACCATCAGTTCAAAGAGGCTGCCAGTGATAGTGATTATGATGATGACCGCGGTAGTCAGGCAGCTAGAAGATGCTCTCGTAAAAGGAAAGAGCGTGCAATACCCTCAGAACTCGTGCAACCTTCCATAATGGTTACTGTAGATGACCTCAATACTCTAGGGGCATTCTTTATCCTTGTCCACCAATTACATAAAACTGAAATGATACCTTGAATGAACCTTCCTTCATCGGACTTTTGACCAAGGTAACTTTCCCCGAGTTATGCAACTTGATTCTGAAGCACACCGCATCCGCTAGAGCAGTTAGGACTATTTGGGGGGCAATTGAGAACGTCTCCCCGGTAGTTGTTCCTCCTGTTCGGCCGGTGGAGGTACACATTATGGATTCAGAGTAGCTTAAAGGTTGGTTGAAGAACAGTAATGCTAGGCCTTGGAGGATATTGGCAGTATTTCACAAAGTAGTCTCAGGTGCTAACCTGGGTGGTGCGGAATCACCCCCATCAAACCCGGCTTTCCTGCATATTGAGGAAGATAATTATAGCATGATCGATATTCCTACAGGGGATTCGGATTCCGAGGAGGGAAAGCACCAGATAAATGCCAAAGAACTGAGGGTATATATACCTAGAACTGATGCCAGTAATCAAAAGCTAATTCAGACTCTTGTTAGGCTTCACGATAGATAGCAGGATGCTATCGATGGTTTAGACCCCAAATACCTTAAAAAGTATTTTTTGGTGTCGTGGTTGCTGACCCAAATTTCTTACAGAAGATGATCTGGACACCTACCGGGATAGTATTCAAGAGAGTTGCTATCGCACTCACTGCTGCTGGTGCTGGAGGTGATGGAGGTGATGGAGGTGATGGAGGTGGAGGTGGAAGTAGTGGTGGTGGTGGTCTAGGACCTCCTCCTCCTCTGGGTAGAGCTGGTGGTGGAAGACCAGCTGGGGGTGGTGGTGGTGGAGGTGGTGGGCCAGCTGGAGGCGGTAGCGATAGTGGTAGTAGTGATGATGACGGGCATTATTAGTACCTTTTGGTATAATCTCTAACTTCCCTTCCTGCGCAATTGTCACTAACCTTTTAATAGTTGTTAGGATTACTCTCTGAACATTCGCCATAGTTGCTGAAGTGTGGTACGATTTGGTGTTTTGGATTTCCCTTTGTATATCAATGGTTGGGTTATATCGGATAAGATTAGATTACATTACATTCGATTTGATTAGTCCAGGTGGTAATTGCATTGCTTTTATTTCCAAGTTGAATCAAACTCCTAGATTGCTCTCAAAGCATTCGGTACTGCTTCAGAAAGTGCAGTAAAATGAGTAATGATAAATGATGTGGTTGAGTGCAGAAATAACGGTAACACCGGATGATCTCTGCCATATGAAGATTAGCGGGGCAAATTTTCTCGCCAAGATTTTTTCTTAATTGAAGATATCGCGAGTGCTTCTAGAGCACTGCGGATATTCCTACCAGTCATCAGAATGGTTCCCACCAAGCACTACTCCCGTACAGCACCTATTGCACCAAAGCATCCACGACTTCCAATATGACGTAAAGAAGATGGAAAGATTGATGAGTCTGAGATATATTACCGACCATTCACTCCACTGCCAGCCCGCACTTGGAGTAGTCAATCAACTACCAACTCTCAACTAACTCGGAAAGGTCTTCTCTGTGCTTCCAAAATCCCCACTGGAAAGTGCAGTCCTCGGAGGGTAGAATTTCATCTCCCTGAGGATTATACTGACAATTTTGAAGCGCAAGAGGAGCCTAAGTCAATTGAGGAACCTGAGATGGAAGAAATAGTTGATACTAACCATTCAGACTATGATGATACTCCGGAGAACAACCACGAGAGCTCTGAAGAGGATGAGAATGAACTGGAGGATGAACCTCAAGCCCCCCTCTATCTTCCACCCAGAGGTCTCGGACCGTCGGAAAGAAACCTCATACAGTTCAACCAATCACTGCTAGAGCACTGAGCAATGCTCGGATGAAACCAACTGGAGCAGTAGCGGATATCATTGCTTCTTCCGACACCTCGGTACCTGTGGTACAGGTTCGACTCTATCTCGCTCATTGATGCTTTTTAACATGTAAGCATTAATGGCTAACGATTCAGAGGGGAACTCGACGGAGCACAAAAGTAATACGTAAACAAGGGAGAGCAGGACCGACTTCAGCACCTAGCCAGGATGCATTTCAGGTAGCACTCCCAGCATCTCAGATAGCACCGTCAATACCTTCACAGTCTGGGCCCTCTACACCTGTTTCTCCTCATGAGTATACCACTTCTAGCCGCCATATCGATTATTCCTCGATGCACTCTCGATATGGGGAGTCGTCCCCTACTTACTGGCCATATCGTTCTTTACTGCTTAGCGAGGTAATTGGCGAGCATTCTGTGAGCAGTTGTCAGATTCCTTCAAGCCAACTTCACGGTCAAGGTCGGTCACAAAGAGGCCACGAAATCAAGTACCTTCCCTCATCTAGGGAGGAGGACGAGAGTGCTCCGATGCCGGAAAGCGATGGTATTTTGCTTCCGGGAAGCAAGGTTAGTATTTCGGGGGATACTCACAACATCTTTGAGAACACTGGCAACATTGTTTCGAGCCAATTGACCCAGAGGTCTGTGGTCCTTAACTCTAGGAGTGGAAATGTACTGTCAGTTCAGGCTCACAGGATTGAGAAGGAGTGTAACGTGTTAATCGGGGAGCATACTGTTCACCATGAGCCCTTTCCACCTGCAGCAAGACTTGCGATACTGGTAGTGAGCATGTGGGCAACTACAATTCGCCGAGTGGGGTACAGAGTATACCTTGATAAAGTCATTATTAAACAGGTGAGTGCCCCAAAGGGATTATGAGTGCTCTGGAAGAATAATTGAGAACGATAGGTCAGAAGTCTGCACTCCCGTGTTCGTTCCCACTTGATGCACGAGGTGAAAGGGTGCCTGGTAGGCTCTACAATATATGGGCTTGGAAATCTTGTGGGCCCCGATACAAGGGCGGCTCAAGTAGAATATCTTTTGAGAAGTGATCGTTTCTTGAGCTCCCAAGACCATTACGAGGTATGGTAAATGCCGAGAGAGTACTCGGGATAGCAGCCGACAGATTCTAGACCTACCGACTGTACTTCTCGGCTCCGGAAATTATCGATATATTGTATTTTAAATACTTCGATGAGGTAAGAATGCGAGGGGTTATGTATCCGGAATTTCTAGAGTGGATAGCTCCTACCCTTATTTACCTGATATTGACGGCGATCTGGCATGGCATTTGGGTGTAGTCAATAGGGAGTTGCTCGAGGCATAATAATTTTTAGTCGCAGAATGAAAGTTTTGTGAATAGGTATGGCCCGATGCCCTCATTGATATGGTGAGTGCCTTGGGAGCATTTGCGGATGCTCCTAGTACTATACGGAATTGCCGAGCTGACATTCAAACTCCAGTAGAAATGTTTAACAGGATGAGCAACACTTGGAAGGAGAGAATTAAACAGAACCGGGACGCAACTTTGGAGGTAATCAAAGATAACCTTCGAGAAAAGGTATGATACTTCTAGATGCTGGTAATGCGAGTGGTATTCTAAATACTAACCCTGATAGATATGAGATAGAAAGGGGGAAACTATTGAGGTGATACTAGAGGAAGGTTTTAGCGAAGACGATAAAGCACTGGCTGCGGATCTTGCCGCATTCCAAGATGCTCAGTGAACACCCACGAATCCTTCAGTAGGTTGGTTGATTTCGACAGCGCCGAGAACGAAGTGATTAATGCCCAAGTTCACGGCATTGACACCGAAAAGGATGGAGAGGAGGAAGAAGAGGAGCCAGAATTACCTGTAGTGGAGGGTTACGAAATGGGTAGGTAGCAAGATGTGTGAGGGCTAAAGGAGATAGTGGGGGATTTGTTCTTTTCCGTATATTGTATTAGGGTTAGTTAGGGTGTTAAATAGCATATTGTTTTAGTATTAGGCAGAGAATCACGGTGATGAATACACCAATTCTAAAAGTGTAATAGCGATTGCCCTGGAGGCAGTAGAGATCATTGTGTGGGTGGTTTTTGGGAATCTCATGGGGGAATTATGAATATCAGAGGCCGGTAAGGCGGAGAGGTGTATGCTTGAAGAGAATGAGGCGCCGAAATATAGGAATCGGTACGTCGGGTGTGAGTCAGGTTTCACAGCACCGATTCGGCAACGTCAGGAGGGGTCAGGGTAATTATTCTATTCCAGGGCCCACTGGAGCAGTCGGGAGTACTCCAGGAGCAGTCAGGATATACCAGCGAGCAACTGGCATTCTCTGGCAACTGGACTGACGTACGGGTTGAGCCGAATACGAGAATCAGATGTCAGGGCACATTGGGCAGACTAGTGTGAGCTGTACTGGACAACCATGTGCCAGAACATGTCAGGAGTGCTTGCCGTATCTCTGGAGAGGTAGTTTACCTACTGAGCACCTTTAGCACCCTGAGCGCCTCGGGCATCTGATAAAGTCTGCAGGTTTGCTGATGTACTTCGGCATGAGCAAGAGTTTTATACCATTGATTCAGCCAATTATGCTAATTCCGAAGAAAGTGTAAATTTACTCCCAGTGGAATACCTACAGAATCTCAATCTTGCATCACTCCCACCCTTCAAGCTTTAGTTCAAGATAGATGCATCCATTATCCTACTCAGAAATCTTTACCTAAAAGAATGATTGTGTAATAGTACTCAAATAACTGTTACAAGTATGGAGAGATAGTGTATTGAGATTCGAATACTAGTACACACTGCTATGAACATGGATAAAGGTATAGACTATAGTTGCCAAGGAACACAACTTGAGTGAGGATGTGAATGTAGACTATGGTCAAAGTAATATACTGTAAGCTCCCTTTGTATATCATACTAGAGAACTATGGCTATGAATTATGGACTGTAGAAATACATGAGAGGCGAACCCGTATCTGGATATGGTATCTGAATTGGTGTAATATGGTATGAGAATAGTATTGTAAGCTAACAATACCAAGAGAATGAAGAAAGTTGTATAAAGAAGAGAGAGAGAAACAGAACATCAACGAAAGCCAGAACCCCTTGATATATCCAATAACCACGGTCCGAATCTGACTCATACCCTCATATAACAGAAATCCATAGGACCCAAAGGAAACCCATATCACTAATCCTAACCTCGTTGCCAAGTACTTCCTCTTTACGCCCTAACACAATATCTGCCCTAATGTCAATATGCCGTTACAAATACTGAGTGGTGAATTTGATGGGGTGGTAAACATAATACCCCACATTAAACTCTCTACAACTTAAGGAGAACTGCCTTTTATTCTTATACGCAAGCAACTACCTGTTCACTTATTATTTGCAATGACCGTCAATAAAGCGCAATCGCAGTCTTTGGATTTTGTAGGGGTGAGTTTGCGCGAGCCAGCATTTACGCAATAACAATTGTATATCGCACTATCTAGGATAATAGATGTTGAGGGTTTGAAGGTGTTGCAGATTGTAAAGCGCGGGGTGTTAACTAATAATGTGGTGTATCCTGATGTGTTGTTGTGATTCCCATTTGTATTTTAGTTCTATTAGCCTGTACATTAAAGATGTGTTTATACTCAATGAACAGTAAGTTACAATTTACAATTGTCCATTATGCGAATGTAATTCCAACTCGCAATATGCCAGCAGCCCTTACATACAACAAAACTATCAAAGTCCTTACACTCCGCAATACCGCAAAAGTCGTTATGAGCTGCATTCAGCTCACAATCATCATGAATCGCAGTACGCTCACCTTCGTTAGTAACCATATTACGAGTACCGTTGTTGCAAACTGCAATACAACTACGGTGACCTACGGCCCTTACACACTGCAATGCACCACAGTACACTCACTATAATTGCACCGGTATCATTAGTAAACAATCATAAGCTGATATATGCCTCGAGAGGTTCAGGAGACACTCTCAATAGACCTTGTAGACTCATGGGAGACTTTGGACATATATGATAGTTTGCGGATAGTTGCGTGCCTTATTACGTCTACCATGCTTGTGAACTATAATATATCTACGGTCTTTATACACTTTAATGCGTCATATTAAACTCACCGTTATTATACGCCTCATTATATCCACCGTGTCAGTGGTTAAGTACTGCAATACTTCTATATTGCTTACACGCCGCAATAGGTGCACCATTATTTCACCCTGCCTTATGCCCACTATAGCAGTGGTTATGCACTACAGTATCCCCCATATTGATTGCATACTGTAATACGCGCACCGACATTACACGGTACTTTACGCCTATCAATGTACCACGATACTGGTGGTTATGCAGTGTAATACTCTTAAATTGCTTTCGCACTGCAGTATTTGCACCATCATTCAGGTTGGACTCCGATTTACGCATATACTCTATACGCGCTGCATTACACTTAGGGTAATTAGAGCACAAAATGGTAAATGTAGGTATGTGAGGCATCAGTGGAGTAAATGTTAGAGTAAACAGCGTAAATTCTAGAGTAAAGAGTGTCCTTAGTTTTGGTGAAGTGCAAGCGATTTATATGAATTTTCCCTATTTCCTCTTCAATTTTACAAAACTCCTAATCTAATAATTTCATAAGAGACCCAATCCTAGCTCAACACCTAGCCATATCTATACACTAGCTCTTTATACCTCTTGCACTCTTCCTTGTAATCCTACTATAACCCTTAAAGTCCTCCTCAATAGTTACACCTCTTGCTCTCCAATTTACGCCTAGAGCAGGGTGAAAAGTACACTTTGTACACTTATTTCCAAAGTGGCAGTTGGTGCAACTACCCTGGAAAAACCCATCTACAGTTACACAGTGAGAAAATTGCCCATTACCACCTGTACATAAATTACACTCTTCAACCTCAGGGTAATCCTTATATAAACCTAAAATAGCCTCAACATTAATCCCTCTCTGGGGGTTAATCTCTCTCTCATACCTCAAAAAAACCTGGTTAATAAGCTCAATAGCTAATAACCTTGTACTATTAATGGTGTTTAAAAACTATTTTTAACTAACTCTTCCATAACCTCAAATGAATAACGGATACCGGACTCGGAGCGTCAAGGTCGCCAAGGTCACCAAAGTCGTCAAGCTCACAGTCTGACTCGTCAGGCTTAACATTTTGCTTGGTGCGGCGCTGGGGCTTGGTGGAGCGCTGGGGCTAGATGGGTTGCTTACCAAGCAACTTGGTAGATGTCTCGGTAGGAGGCTCGGCATGGACCGGAGGCTCAACAATTAAGAGCTCAGGAGAGACAGGTGCAGCAGGTGCAGCAGGTACTTTAGAGGAGGTAGTGGAGGTAAATATTTCTTTAGGATAGGTAGGGAGGTAAGAACTGTTTAATGATGGGTGCAAATGAAGTGAAAAAATGATCTATTTATTTCGCTCTTACAGCTCTATTCACTGTGGGCATTCACAAAATACAGTCACTTACATTAAGGGCAAACCCAAAGAACTCGAAGACAGACTACGGCGAACTATGGCACACCGAACTCCCAGCATGACGATCCAGCGCTGCACTGAACTCCCAGCATGATGAACACCCTACCAGCACTTAGCAGTGAAATCAGCACCCTTCGCAGTTGCGAGGTGGCCCACTACTATTGTCATCTGTACTACTATCACTATGTTGCTAGGTAGATATTCGGTGGCACTATTCTCGTCGTACTGGGGAGTTAAACTAACTAGGGGTCCCAGATTTATTTTTATTTTTGCTGCTTTGTTACAGTCAACTGCAAAAGTCTTGATTTTCCTTTTTCGGCTTCCGCCAACATTTTTTAAAAAGGTCGAAAATTTACGAAAATTATATCATACCCTTAAAGGTTAGTTTAAGCCAAATCTTTCATATTTAAGAGATTATTGAAATACTAATACATAAATAGGGCTCACATTATCATAACGAGTCTCCTTCCTATGGCTCTGCCTGATCACGAAGTACACAGTTTAGAAGAACTCTTTACTTAATCCTCAACCATCGCATATAAAATAACATTTCATCTCATAGGAGACGACACGAGTTGGTTGCCTGTTGAGGACCGCATTGAGCACAACACTGAAGTTATATCCGACTGCCGCATATAATTTACTCTCAAAATAGTCTAAGAGAAGATTAGATCACTTTAAACCACAACACCTCCCATTTGACACTTTCTCAAAAGGAAAGTTGATATATTTCGCGCGGTCTTGGAATTTCATTGCGAAATTCGGCGAGACAGCCCTTAGACTACATGCGAGGCACAGAATCAAGCGCGCGGAAAGGCAAATTATTCAAAGGAAATACTCCGTTTTTCATAAGTTTCTACTTATTTCTCACTTTTATAAGCTACTATCCCTTTCTTTGTTATTGCTTTGTGCGAGGTGGAGGAAGTGGTTGGGAAGTTCGGGATAGTGCGATATTGTCATAGACTGCGGTCTGCATACAATTAATGAATTAAACCAAAAAAAAAAAAAATATTTGCGAAATGCGGCGGATCTTTTCAAAATTAAGCAGTACCAGATAAACCGGAAAAAAAAAATCAAAACTTTTGCAGAGCTAATCACTATAATTATCGAAGAGAATTTAAATTTAGTATCGCCAAAAGCATGAGTTTGCTCCATTTACAAAACGTGTAAACTTAAACTATAAAGTGAATCAATAGATCTACTTATGTATTTATCTATTTGCTTCCCCGTACTAATTTGATTCATTCACAGATTGGAGACCGTTACTTTCACAAATACATTTACAATGATTCATTTCCTACCTCAAAACTAACGAGAAAATTCGATTCATTTACTGACACATTATAAAACCGATAGAGTCACCGCGATAAATATTTAGTCAAAAATGGTCAAGTTCTAGCTGGCATTGGCCAGTCAACAACACGACCGGCCAGTGAGGTAATAGGCATATTAGCCAAATTCGTAACTCGACGGAATAAATACATTAGGCTCTGTTCGGACCGACATGGTATTCAACACTGTAAGTGCCCGGATGGAGTTGAGATATTGCACGTTGGGTACTATAGAGGCATGAAGATACTAGAAACGGGAAATAAATACCTCCAGAGCTATTTGTTAAGATGATGGTATTTATAAGATGTTCGTAGTATTAAAACCAATAATTTGAGCCATCCGAACACTGAAATTCTACACTGACTTACACAACTTCCTGCTCGGGGTGAATACCATGGTATTGAGGCTATTGAGCATGCTATCGCAGTAATTTGTCTCAGCGGACTATCACACAAGACGTCAAAGTTGCCTTCTACAACGAGTATGAGGGAAGATTAGGGGGCATTTTCGAGACAAATGTTCAGATGGGGGATTTCCAACGTACTGTGTGATCGTTCACTGAGGCGAATACCCCTAATGCCGGAGAAAGAGAAGGTCGCGGGTAGATGAATTGTACAAAGTTGCCTACCTAGGTCTAATTAGCTCCCAACGAAATCAAAGATTATTCAGGCAAAAGCATCACAGCCGGGGACCATATGATTTTCCAGCGTAGTCTTCGGCGGTCATTCAGCTTGGCACATATAAGCCCCGAAGTCAATCCCTTTTATGTCTTAACTTAGAGAGGGGGGCGAAGGGGATCCCGGATAGTGCCGAAGGCAATTCCAGTATCGAGCACCCCATGCATGATTGTTGGAAAGAAGTTGATATATATCTTCAATCCGTAATTATAATCCAAGTATTCGCAAAGTAGGCTTCATGATCAAAGAAGAACAGAAACATTCGGGGCCTAGCCAGCCTGCTGGCAACCAGTTGGTAGTCTAGGTTGGATTGACCGAATCTGATCTGGTTTAGTTGAAGGTGATATCGTTGCAATGGAAAAAGCAGAGTCGGGGCGGCTTTTTTATTTCAGTCGATTTGTTGACTTTGGGTGACAAATCTACTGGACAGGATATGTTGCGGAACACTCTGAATAAGTCAATATTTCACGAATAAGTCATTCCTCACCAAAATTTAACAAGTCGACCCCGTTGCTAAACGGGCCTTATCTGTTCTTTATTCGTCGTGAAGAATAGAGAACGTACTAATCCCAACAGTCGGCCAACAATATCCGCCCGAGAAGGGCTTTATATATATAGTGTTCCAGTGTTCTATTGTATTACGCTCTACATACGTCAGTATGGATCCTACATAGAGTAGGAGAAGGAGTTGGTGCATGATGCCAACTAGAAGAGAAAAGAAGAGGTGACTTATACATGTAATTATCGGCGGAAATGGCTGGGAGTTGATGGTGTAACCCACGGAGGTATTACATATATTTATGTACATGTAAATGAGGCACTACACGACCTCATGATCACATCATCTCATAAACGATATATATATATATATCATGTATATATATAGAGAGATATGGACTTTAGGTATACGAAAATTTTCAAGTTCGACCAGCCTCATTATTAAACTTCCAACGGATCCATAATATATCGCTTTCTAACCAGTCTTTCGCCTGTGCTATAAGACATCAAATCATGGGACGTATCACCTACACTCCTGGAGATCCGGAGTGGACTGTACCGAAGGATGTTGAAATCCAACTGAGGGGGCGGTGGAGCGGGATACCGTTGCTTTGCGACATGGACATAATATTCAACTTATCCCGACACTCAGATGTTGAGCTCCAACTAGACGCGTCGCTGATTGGAGGTTTCAACCCAACGGTAGCATATGATATTAGTTGTATGGCAATGATGGAAGACGTAGCTGGAGGTGTGTTGAAAATAGGCTTATTTCCGCCTTTCTTACTTCACTTGATCGATTGACGTACTCGGGCCAAATCTAATCACCTGGATAACTAATATAGTCATCATCGATGGAGAACTCTGTGTCGACGATAAGCCCTTCTGGACCCACAAGATCAAGGATCGTGGGGTATACGAAATCGCGTATAGTATGTCTCTTTCGCTTGTCCACCGGCCGTCGTGAGATTTCTTTCCTTAATTCTAGGTATGACTAATACTCCATATCACGCAGTCCGAAGGCCCCCCTGGCGGAATCCATTGCTCTGGATCCTCGACTCTTACCGAGGAACGCCCCTGGTCCAGGAGAAGGACATCCCGGAGCCAAACCCATACTGGGAGACCAGTGCCGCCTGCGTGCGCCTCAAGAGGCGAGGCCTGGTTACCGCCGGAAGCGATGATCAGGAGACCGACAATATGAGAAGAGGGGTTAATTCCTCCTCATGGACTCGTGTTTCATCTGATTTTATTCTACAGGCTGAAATGGAGGGGAGGTGGAGGGATGTGAGGAGGTGGACGAGGTACAATCCGGTGCCTGTTAAGGGCGGGCCGATAAGTACGGAACGTCGATTGAGAAAGGTGATTTGGGTAGTAGGCTTGGTAGAACTTTTTATGGTGACGTTCATCTTGGGTAAATGTTTATTTTGGACGCTGATGTGGTTCTTAACCTCTGTCCGACTAATATACGAGAGTACGCTCGAGTGGTATGAGACTCTTATATTAATATTATCGGCTACCCGATCGTGGGCTTTTCGCATTGCAAGGGCAGTTAAAGATAAATATCTCTAACTTCCATTCACCATAGCAGTCATGATCTCATGATCAGGTTGCGACTACAGGCTTGTTTTATAATTTACTCGGTGATGCGCGTTCGGGATCGAGCTCAGCTTGTCAGTAGCCAGATCTAGATATATAGATACATGTAGCTAGATAGTTAATTATCCCATCAATAATAACAACCGTTTTGTTGTGTACCGAATTAATTATCATGTTTACGCAACTGACAACCACATGCACACGTTAAAAGCATTATCATTATGGGATATAACTATATTGCACTCCTCCTGTATTATCTTGATTCAGATATTTATCTTCTTAAGATTATTTTCCTCCTGGTTGTGTTGCCAAAGATTTGATGCTGGATGGCCCGAATCCGCTAGCCTACGGTCGATGGGGATAATTCACTTGACTTCGAGGTCCGGTTGCGTCTAGTCTCGTACCCAGCCCGTTACTTAAGTACTTGCAGCAAGCTGCCCCAGTACGGACGAGCCTAGGTTGCGTCTAGCTCGCCTTTAGTGTGGTCCACGAGGCCTCGACGCTCAAGCTCGGCCTGGGACCTGCCTCGAGGAGCTCAAGGCACGGGGGTCAACGAGGCGAGCATGGTCGAGGCAAATCATTTTGCTCGCCTCGAGCTACTCGAGGTTTATGTAATCATGTATTAGTGGCATATATTCAGTGGGATTGGGGTTGGTGTTTCTAATAGGGATATTGGAATTACTCCCTACATTTTCATGCCAGTATTCTAATAAAATATGATTTTGACGAATCTAAATTTAAATCTAGGGATTATCTAACTCGAGGCATCACCTATTTCTCACGAGCAAGCAAAGGCATGAACCACACGAGGCAGAGGCGCCTCGAGGCACTTGTCTCTGCCTGCCTCGAGCAGCCTCGTGGACCACACTACTCACCTTACTTCTGTCGCGGGCTCGAGCAAAATCAAGTACTTTTACTGCGAACAGAGGAACTTGCCTTGATTGATCCCCGCGCCCCCGTATCGCGGTGCGCTCCCCTTTTAGCCAGTGGAGTCAACTTTGTGACTTTATCATACCACCCTTGATATATTTCGAGATCTCTGTCAATGTCAGTATGGTCTTAATTCTGAAGTTGTTTTTGGAATTTTCTGCACCATGGACAATTAACTACCGCAACAGCCCTGCTCAACCGCCGATTTAAAGGATTACGATTCATGACTCGTTTGATTTATTCACTTGTTCAGTTTCTGCTTTCCTTTCCCGGGACTTGACAGTTGACTGATTCATCCGCCTGATAGCAAGATGAAGTATCTTATATCGTGGGTGTTTCCCTGGATTATCCCCAAGAGCTCGGAATCATTTGTACCCATAATATATGAAGCCACAAATAGCCTCCAAACACAAGCTCGCCCCTTAACGCATAACCCCCCGGAGGTAGAAGCTATACAAAGCAATGCAACATTGCACGGCGCGTGCTCCGGGTTTCATAGGATATCACTCGGTCTCTTCGTCATGAATAGTCACTCGGCCTTTGACGAAACTCCACGTATTCCTCCGAGCTTGCTATATAAACACCAGAAATATCTAAAAACTGTGAGGCATGAGCTTATTAGTATCTATGCTAGTACGGTCTTGTTGGTGGAGCAAGGCGCAGCAGGCCTAGGCCCTTCTACGGCGGAGAGAGCAGGATATGCCGGCAAAGTTTGAGAGCGTTTAGAATCTATGCGGATGGATCCATCGCTAGCGCAGTACCGCGCGCTCTTATATTCCACTCTATGCCTGCCGAGTAGTGTAGGGTTTCTATACCTGAAAAAGACAGAGGTTTGGGTAAGGATGGAGTATAGGTTCATGGACTATCACTCGGTCATTATGACTCTGGCCGACATGGGGTAACTGTTTTATCTCGCCTTAGCTATTAGTATAGAGAAAACAACACATGTAAGAGGGAGTAGAGTGGAGCACTGCTTGCATGTTGTTATGCTGGTATAATGTCGCTTTGTACTTAGGGAGGCAGGGGAGGCGGGGGAGGGGAGCGATACAGAGGGCATTCCCCTACGCTACAGCTCCCTTCCGAGGTCTGATCTGCGTTCTCTGGTTCTCTTCATTTCCTGTGTCTGTCTATCATCGGATCTTGTCTCGGTGATGGAAGTTGGGAAAAGCGTCGAGCTGGTTACAGCGGTGGGCCCTAGTTCTGGGCTTAATCTTGCCATAAAGGGCCTGGCCTTGGCGAGATCTAAAGACATATACCCGACCTTCACCCAGTGAACTCGATGGTGGGGCCAATTCGGGCTATTTAGAAGGGACTCATCAGTTAACCATCACTAGTGCACTCCGGCCAGCACTACATAAAAGAATGAATTTACAGTGAATCGTTAATCGATTAATTAGCCAGTATATATATGGGCCAAAGCTACAGATACCACTCCACTCCCGGACATCAACTACGGGATACGAGCTACGGCTTGAGGTTGCCGTATTCCTTAAACCACCCGTCTTTCGACCCAACCTCACTCGTCAATATCGACGGCGTTGGTGCCGGAAATCTCTGGATCGAGGGTCGAGTTTGGGTCATGGAACATCACTCGTATTCAAGACACCTGAAATATTGGAAGCGCAGAGTTATCAAGGTTTTAGATAATTATTGTATAAGACGTACAGCGAAATTAACAACAAATCTACCCTCCGCCTTTAGTGACAAATACCCAGCACCAAACCCAGCGCCACCAGCTAGCTAGAAATCCATTCTGACGATCGAGGATCACGAGCTCACCACATCAACCACATCACACGGCCGCACCTCCGCCGCGAAAACCCAAACGGAGGTAATGACGTATCGGCCGATACAAATCCCACAGCTCCGTGTACACCGCGCAGCTGAGAAGACCACCTTCCAACCTATACGTACATCCTACATATACACCCTTATCCCTCACCCCTTGCATGCCCCTTACCTCCTGCGCAGCCCGGCGCCATCCCCGGATCCTCCTCGTCGCCGCGTGCGGCCCTTACCTCGCTGCGGCACGTCACGGGACGCGTCCTTATCTTGCATGCAAGAAACTCTTTGTTTTGCATGTGCTACATACCTCCGCCACTGGGCTACGAGGAGGAATCATGTGTTCTCACTCGTTCATTTGGCATCGGACGGTTTGTAGCTGCATGCGGCGAACCAGGTGGGCAAACAATGGAGGTGGGACGGGGGAGCCGTCATGTAGGTGCCCGCCGTCGGGTGGCTATAGATGGCAGCGGGAGCGCTGTATGCCCTCGCCCGCGCCGGCGGCGGATGGATGGTGGATGGTACGGTGCTCTAGAGTGCTTAAGATGTACTACTACGGGCGGACGGGTTCGTACACGGTCTGGGCTGGCGAACCACAGTCCAGAGCGCAAACCCGGGCGCGCACACACACGGCTCTTACTAGTATAGTAAATATATACGCATGGCTAGACACAGCAGTGATCTTCCGTCCCTGATCTCCCGGTAGATATATATATCCAAGATAGATATGCGCAGATTGTGTCCACCGTTCTGACAACCGGCTAGCGTGCGCCGTCAATCAGCACGCTCTGTTCCAGCCCTGTTTCGAACCCGGCTGGCCAATGATCTCACCTCCACCCCAGGAGATCGCGGGAAACACACACAGGCAAATAAGGGCCCAAATATAACCACGGGCGGGTATTATCATGATATAGCAGTGATATACTAGTACCCATCCAGAGTAGTAGAGTAACCTCAGACCTGCATAGGCAGCGTCGGATCAGCCATGAAACACTGCTGAACAAACACCTCAGACCGATGATCGCCGCAGCAAGCAAGCACACATGCAACTCAACTGGGAAGGAGAGGGTTTAGTAAACAAATCATTGCAACAGCTGGCGACGTGTCAAACAAAGCCCACACAGCACGGGAAACGAACGAAAACCCAAACCCTGGGGTGAGCGATGGATCGCTCACACGGGAGGTAACTAACGAAGGGGGTGCGGATGGATGGATGGATGGATGGATGGATGGATGGATGGATGCGGACGAGCAAGATCTTGCGCGCACGGGGCGGCTGGCTGCGGATCGGGAGGTCAGTCAGGACGGTGCTCGGTCGGCCAGCCGGCGCGGGGACGGGGTTGGTGTGGAGTGGCGATATCGATAGTGGGCGGTGGGCACGGTTGCGGGTCCCGAGGGGAAAAGGGAGAGGCAGAGGGAGAGGGATCGTCAATGGCAGTTGGGAGAGAGGGAGAGGGAGAGTGCGCGTGGGCTCAGTTTCACTGCCGAGACATGTGTTTGCATGCAGACAGAAACAGGCAGACGGGTTGGCGATTTGGAACTGCATCACGGGGAAGGGAAGTGATGCATACACAGTACATGTCGGTACGCAGCTAGAAGGGAGAAACCCTAACCCAGGAATCAAGCTTTTCCGCGAATGGGGGTGTCACATGGCCTGTCTCTCTTGTGCTCTAGTTTGGCATGTCTTGTGTGCCTGCCTGGAGACTGAAGAGGAGGGTTGTGGTGGAGATACATGCACCTACATCGAGGTGTTTGTGGCTGTGGTGGATCAGAGGGACGGTGGTAGGGACAGTCTGCATACAGGGCAGGCAGACAGGCACAGACAGACAGGGACACGGGGATAGTTGCACCTCAACAGAAATTGGTGTTTCTCTTGCTATCTCGAACTATCTCGACACTACATTCTACTCTCGGCTTGCTTGCAGGGCTGGAGGAGGATCGAAGAGGTGCAGAGGTGCAGAGGTGCAGAGGTGCAGAGGTGGAGAAGAGGCCTGTCTAATCCCTGCCCTACCCCAATCTCCACCACTTAGCTCGCTCTCGTCTCCGCGCTCTCTCCCCTCACTCTCTGCCTCCACCCCACCTCCCCTGCGAGTGGTCCCTGCGTCCCACCCCGGTCGGTCCGTCAGCCAGAGCGCGATTCATCCCGGCGTCCGTCTGAGCTGGGGGTGTGTGTGTTTGTCAGTCTGCCTGGAGACTCTCTGTGCTCTGAGTGGGCTCTTTACCGAGCGGTGAGCTTTTCGCCTATGTGCCCCCCACACTCAACGTCAACCGAGGGAGGGAGGGAGGGAGGGAGGGGCGATTGCGCGGAGAGAGCATTTGCCGCCAGGGAGGACAGAGAGTGTGGCCATGGTGGGATTGGGTGGGAGTGATAGACTTCAGGTGAAGACGATGATGGATAACAGACAGACAGACAGACAGACGGTGCAGTGTAGACACACAGACAGGCAGGGTTGGTGTCGTGCTTTGTGCACCGAGTGTCCTGGGAGTTTTCAAAGCTTGCATGTTAGGTTGCACAGGTTACACGCACACAAACCCGACCAGACACCACACGCAAGCTGCACTCGCACACCCTGACCGTTGCATGACATCACGCATTGGCTGGCGATCCCTTTCCCCCTCTGCTCAATGTTACCCCCCCCCCCCCCCCTTTCCCCTCTTGCTCAATTGACCTCACCCCCTCACGTCCAGAAGGAAACCTCTGCCCCGTAGTGTCGAATCAAGATCTTCACCTGTTTGGGGTGCGCTCTACATACCTATCGATCAATGATTTGAATTCCCCGCTCCCTCCTCCTCTGGTTCGAGCTCTCCCTTCTTTTCCCTCAGCCGATAGTGACGTTCTTCACCACCACCCCTCCAACCCAATGCTCGTCCATCCATCCCCCCTTTGGGCCTTTGGGAGCCGTGTAGGCGACCATCAAACCCGTATCCATCTGTAGCAGGCTCCATGGAGGGGTCTATCTGTCTGGCCGTGGTCTGTTTACGCCTCCACGTATCGGTGCAAGATCTGTCTCTCGCTTGCACATACCTGCATCCCGTTCCATGGGCCGCGAATAAACTGCTCGAGCGGCAAGCTTGACTGGGTGCCTCTTCCCCACCAATCACCGTGGCCCGCCCTGTTCAATTGCAGGCCATGGATGATGGGAGTGCCTCGTGGGGGAGTGGGAAAGGCTGGAGGAGGAGGAGAGCAGCCACCACCACCACCACCACACCAGCACCACCACTACTCTACATCGATCCAGCCGTGCGGCGCGGGCACTGGCAGCGGTGTAAACCCAAGGTCGGCGTCCCTCCTTTGGGGAGGGAGGGAGAGGGGGTTTTTCCTTGCTGTGCTGAGGATCCCCTCCACCGCCACCACTCACAGCTCTGATCCTGGTTGCCTTCTTTTCCTTCTTGCGCTTGTTGGTTTTTCCGACCTTGGCGTTAATCTTATTTATTCCCCGACGAACCCCCCGGCCTAGCTTGCTTGGTCCGTGTGCTGTGCAGTAGGGTGTGTGTGTTTCTTCTTCTTGACAAGCAGCCAAAAAAAGTACTACTATAGTCTTGGGTGGAGATATAACTTACACATCACAGGCTGGTTGTCTGCACCGTCCGCGTGGTTATCGCTTCCGCGCTAGAGTCAAACTTTTCGTTCGTTTGTTTCCAACCCCCACCACTACCCACCACCACCTCCCCCAAACCAGCGGCAGGAAGGCTGACTGGATGATCGCTGGCTGTGAACCCCACAGTTAAAACACATACAAACAGCTTAGTCTACCCTCAGTCTATCCCGGGAAAAGAAACAAGAAAATCTCCACACGGCTAGCCTGTCGCTCCTCGTCTATCTGGCACCACGAACACCAAGTCTAGGCCCCGCGATATATTATAAATAGACAGAGACCACCCCCGCATCCTGTCGAGGGGACTTTGCATGGGACAACTGCTTCACTGCACGGACGCAATACTTGATAGACCGCCTTGCCTCCTTCTGCTTCTGCTACAGCCTGATCTCCGTTGCATCATCATAGAGGCCCTTTTACCATCACCATAATCATCAGAATCATCATCCTCAGACCTCACGATACAGCTTGGATATTTATCAGCATCTTCAACATCATACCACTGCCACTTATCATTCGACAGACACCCATGTTCCGCCATGTCCCGCAATAATTCCGTCTCAACAACTGAAACCTCAAGCAGCGGCTACACCTACCCCTCCCCCCTCTACCCCCTCTCCACCACCTCAACGTCTTCCACCCAGACTTCGATTTCTTCCACAACGTCCCAAGAAAACCGCGTCATTTCCGACTTTAATCCCACCCTCCTGCTCTACATCCCCTCCCACGGGGGTCTGCGCGCCCGCAAGGCCAGCGCCGAGCTCACCATCCATGACGTAACCACGCATCTGCCGGGTTACAACCAGCACACAAACTCGATCCCCGACACCGTCACAATGGCGCAGATCAAGAGCGTTGTTGCTGCGCGCCGCTGGGAGTCCAGCGACTCCAAGGTGCCCCCCACGCTCGTGTCGCGCCGCAACGGAAGCCTTTCATCGCGCAGCAAAGTGCTGGCACCCGGAGGCATTGAGGCCGCAGAGTGGAAGGTGCCGTGGGATGTGATGAAGCCCGCGAACATCACGCTCAAGGGCAATGAGGACCGGCGGGTCGAGGTGTGGTGCGGGCGCGAGGATCGCAGGGCGCAGGTGTGGTCCGTGGGCAGGGAGAGGTTCGTGTGGCGCTGGCTGGAGAGCGGGGAGCTGGTGCTCGAGAAGGAGAGCGAGGAGATGGGAAGCCATCAGATTGGCGCATTCCTGTTTGCGGTAGGTTTTTCTGTTCTGATTCGTGGGTTTTGGTTGTGGACGAGTGCTGATCGTCTGTTGTAGCATCACTCGAAGAGTTCGTCGTTTGGCCCGCTCATGACCACCGGCGGTACGCTGATCCTGGATGAGCGCGGATTGTCGCGGACGATCGCGGTCACGAGCATGCTGATCCTCCTCAAGCGGGAGAGACAGCGGCGTAGCATTGGCGGGCGAACGTTCAGGGCCGAAACGCCAAAGGGTCGGCGTGAGAGCGTCTAAACAGCAAACGGCTCTTGGTGCTGATAATTCCTTATCTCCGATTTTTTTTCTTTTTCTTTTTTTTGCTTTCGGATCTGGGTTCTGGTTCGGTTTTGGTCTGGCTTGGGTGGGGGAGCATTTTCGGGGTATTTCTTCTTTTCCAGTTTCCATTTCCACGACTATTATTACTACTACTACTACTACTACTTTTGGGGGGCATATCATATCATATCATATCATATCATAGGAGGAGCGTTGTTTTTGAACTTTTGGGATCTTGGCGTTATTGTTTTTTTGTTTTTTTATTTCTTTTTTCTTTTCCAGCTGGCCTTTTTTTTTATTTATTTATTTTTCCGTCGTTTCTTTTCCTGTGCTGCGCTGGAAAGGGGAAAAAAAGGAAAAAAAGAAAAGGGTCTTGAACACTGTTTTCTCCGGCAATCGGGGGCCGCTGGTGCGGTCGTCTATCTGTGCATGCAGGGTGGGTGGGGTGATTGTCTGCCTATTCTCACTCTACTACCCCTCTTCCTCCTGCCGGACGCAGGACCTGTCTCTGCCTGTAGCTAGCTGCTGTAAATACTCTACCGTCAGATTGATTGCATACCACATCCGTCTGTCTATCTATCCTGTCCTCTCTCTCCCTTCTCTCCTTTGTTTTTTTTCTCTCTCTTCATTTCTTTTCTCGCTGGCCGCTACCTAGCTAGTGAGGGGGTGAGCTCGGTGCTGAATATAAAAATAATGACGCTGTCCAATCCAATCCAATCGCTGTGCCGAACAATGATTTGTTTTCTTGTGTTGAGCGGGGTGGAGTAGAGGGAGGTAGGTACACGTTGCCCGGTGGAGTCGTGGCAGGTGCTGGTGGGAGGTGGAGTGCGTGCGAGGCTTGGCCGAGTGATGGGGTGTGATGGGGAGTTTGGGGGGGGGGTGCGTGGGTGATGTAAGCGGGTTGATATGTAAGCAGAGGTAGGGTGTGGCGGTGGCTTGGAGGTAGTGTGGAGGGGGGTTGTGGCTTTTTTTTTGGGGGGGGGGGGGGGGGTTAATTCATTGGCTTTGTGGGGGATACGGAGAGGGAAGTATGTTGTAGGGATATCGATGTAGCGCGGGCTTGAAGTCGAGAGTTGGGTGGAGGGTCTGATGTGTGTGTGAGCAGTGCGGATTATCTGTGGATCATGTGCTTGTGCTTTTGTTAATGTTATATAGGTGGGCCAGCATGGGATGTCTTTTTATTTCTGGCCGTAGGAATAGAAGATGTAATAACTTATTAATGTATAGTATTCACAGAGTATCTGCAGATCTCAGTTATATACATGTATACAATGATGTTACTATAGCTCTTGGAGTGTTGCCTCCGATCCGGCTCAGCATGAGATCCCGTTGCAAATTTGCAATTGAGTCGGGTTGTGGCGGTGATATATGTTATGGCGGGGTATAGAAAAGATAGGACGAGCAGTGATCAGCTAGTAGTAGGGAGCACGAGAGGAGGGGTACGGTGAGTTGCGTAGATTAGATGCAAGTCTCCGATTTATATACCGGAGTATAGTGGGCGGGTTGATCTATTCTTTGCGCTGCTGGCTGTACTGCGGGTCTTTATAGGCTTTCGGGGTCTGTAATGCACTTCAAGTACACTACACAAGATTCTCGGCGTTGGCAGCTATGGTCGGTATCCGGCCTCCATCTACCCCGGGCCTAGTTTCGGGGGGTTTTCGAGCGCGAGACTGCTGTTACTCTGACGCCGGCGCGGCGCAGTGTGTTGATGCTTTGGCTTTATAACTGCAGGAGTGGATCTTCGAAGGCCAGCCAGCCCTCCTGTGTGTACGTCATCTGTAGCACTGTATCTCTATTGCTCTAATGGCGTGTGTAGCTCTATTGAGGCCCATTTGCGAGTAAAACCATTGCGGACCGGAGGTAATCATAGACTATCACTCGGTCGACTTATCAAGTGGATTGCGAGCGGGTCGTCTCATGGCGGTATGGTGGACTGTGGTATGGCTTGTATGGTAGGAGTAGGAGCTGGTGGGGTGGGGCGTTATAGTAGTGGTGCGGTCAAGGCTGGCTGGGTTTATTTTTGGTTAATTCGGTGTGTTGTTGTAGTTGTTGTGGTTGTACGCGTACGGGAGCGGTGATCGACGGATGGTGGGTCGGGCATGCAGCTAGATGGTTATACATGGCTGCGAAAGAAGTGTCTTCCCTGTCGATACGAAGTTAGGTTCAGGTGTAATGACATGTACTTCGGTACATATTACGACCGTCATAGATCGCGGGGCAAGTTGTATATATATTCTGGCCAGAGCTGTTGAATCTGGTCTCGGAGGGTGTTGTAGTAAGCTAGGTCCTAGGAATCCCTGAAAGTGTTTTTCTAACCATCTATAAAGGTAAGCGACCATGCTCTGGCGGTCATCTCGCGGATTCGTGGGATTGCGTAGTGGCCTCAAAACGGAATAATAACTAGTCTGTGGTTTGATATGCAAAACCTCTCCGAGAACGTCGTACTATTTATTATAGTCACACCCAGTAACAAGTGCCCGGGTAAATCTCTGGTGCGACCAAACACGCGCCAGGACCCAATATGGCGGGAGGCGTCTGTACGTGAGACATGATTCATCACTCGGAGTGCGTCGGTCGGGTGACTAATGACACAACATGTACGTGAAACAGCAGACTACTCGAATCAGAAAGATGAACCAAGAGTATTTTATGCAGTATTCGAGCGCGGGCGTCGGTTGGTATTGATCGGAAAGGGATGCATGTAGACTTTAACGTCCTTTTCATGTGGCCAGCTGGCAGTTTCGGCCATAGCTGCGGAAGTGTTGCATCTGAGAGCCTGTTTCTCTATACCAGGGTCATTATATATCAGAAAAACAAGCTTGAACGGTTTACTGATTCCTTGAGTGGATGAGGCAGGATAGGTTTATTTCATTATTAGTGAAAGCCCGAACTCTGATGGTGCAGTGTGACCACAATAGAAGTCCCCAAGGCGTTGTTTTTGACTGGGGAGATGTCCGGAACTGTGTTAGAGATGCCGCGCTGCGTTTTCTCTCGGGTTAATAGGTGGCTCGGCTATTCCGGTGGATTTCTAGACGTCGCTCGCCATGTATATCAGGCTTCTGCTTTAAAGCCCAGTCGTGCCAGCTGCTCTGTGGAGGACAAGCTTAAAGGTACTGCCTGCAGAGGCCGGGATTGATTAAGATCTATACTTCATTATCGAACTTGGAGTCTCATATCTGTATAAAAACCATGAAACCTCTGGGACAAGCTGGGATACGTGGATTCATAGTTATTGTTCTTCCTCGGTGACAGCTTTCGTGCGCCTAAGATTTCGTGATGAGGAAACGTTGAGATATTTGAGCATACAGGGAACTACGCGACCATTCTAAACAGCGCTAGGGAAATATCGCATATATACTGCCACTGGGGAAATAAGTATCACCCTCGGAATCGGTTTGCGATTTTCCCTTTCTGTGCCAAGTATTTATTGAGCAGTATGAGTAAATGTATATATATGCGCAGTTAGTTATATCAGATCTTCCGAGCTCATCGCGACAGCTATCACAATGAATCCATATACAGTGTATCTCTGGGTTTCTTTTCTCCGTTATATAAATTATACATGCATGCAGCCTTTCTACATCCCCGCACAGTTTGGCAGGTTCACTGATCAAGCAAATCAAGCCTCAGCGCTGCGATCATACAAAAAGAAGTTGGCATGTCCTCTAAAGCGCGAATGTGGCTCGCGATAGAAGGCAATCTTTCGATTTTTGAACGCAATCCGGAAAAGGTCCATGTACGGCCTGTAGACCTCGTCCTCATCGTTCAAGCTCGATGGAGGGCGAAAGACATCCTGGAGGACGCGGGTAGGGGCCAGAAACTCCTCTGCCGCGTAATCGGGGCACGCCAGGTAGCCCACGACAAGGTCCCAGCCCGTGCGGTCGGAGCGGTGTTCGAACTTGGGCCGGAATTCGCCAAAGTGGCAGAGACGGAGACTGTGCTCGCTGGACTCGGCTCCTGTTGTTTCAAAGATCAGTCATGAGTATCGATGTGACAAAGCCAGATATAACAATCATGCGCTCGCTCGTCTGTCTGTCTGTATTCAAGAGAATGGGAGCGGGGGAGCTTAATGGTCGTGCAGTATATATATATATATATATATATAAGTACATGTGCGTACCTTCCATCACAACACACGACACCTCCGCAGCCAGAAAGGAGTTGAGCTCGAGCATCAAGAGCAGCGAAGAGACCTCCGCGAGCACGCCATAAGACATCCTCGGCTTCAGCTCGGGACCCATCCCAAGCAGGCTCCTCAGGATCTTGCGGAACGGGTTAAAGTTGAGATTCTTGCTGTCGCGTGCAGATGTCCAGCTCTTGAGGGGCTCCTGCTTCTCCCCCTCCTCGAAAATCCACTCGATGAAGCCGCCGTAGAGACTCTCCAGCTGGGCATACCGCCAGTCGGGGTCCGCCGCATGGTACGGCGGGAAGCGCGTCACCCCATCAACCTCGTCGTCGGCAGTACCGTGACCCGGCCGCTTCCGGCCCCGGAGAGGCTCGAGAAAGGCCCCCGAGAAGAGATAGCTCATCACCAGGTATCTGGCGCCCGCACGGTAGAAGCTCTCCTCGCCGTGCTCGGTGATCCACTCGATCTGCACAATCTCCCGGAACCGGCTGAGCCAGCCCGCGAGCATGCGGCTGATCTGCCTGACCGTGAAGAGCTCGTCGAAGGTGGGGGGTGCCGCGGCGAGGCCCTCGCAGAAGGCCTTTGTGGGCGGGGCTGGGTAGCGGTTCTCGGCGAGGTCGAAATGGTTCCCTTCCCACTCGAGGGGGAGCTTGCTGGCCCGCGCGGCACGTAGGCAGTCGTCGAACATGAGGAAACGCCGCGAGGCTGCTTTGCGGAGCAGGGTTTGTGTGTTGGACGTGAGCAGGCCGCGGAGGGAACGGCATGTCGAAGAGAGGTTTATGATGTCGAGGGGACTGTCGAGGGCCTTGAATATGGCGAGATGGATCTCTGAAGGGACGGAGAGTAGGATCGACGACATGTTCGTGGCAGGTATGTACGTGTCTGCGCGCGTTGGGGCCACTGTGAGTTGGATCAATATTATCAGGTTCGAATTCCCCGTCAGAGGGTATATGTATGTATGGGGGAAAGTAGTGGGACTGCAAGTAAATATATATATATATATGAGAAGAACGACTAGAGCTCGAGGATTGGAAGCGTTACTCTATACTCAGCTGTCCGCGCAAGCAGGTGTGTGTGTAGAGACGACGTACGTGCCCGAGTGGATGAGTCGATAGCTATACAGGTAGGTAGAGCAGAGTAGCTACGTAGAGTATGTATGTATGTATGTAGCTGTAGGGATTTGATATACCCGGAATACCTACATCATATCATATCATATCCCTGGTCAAATACTCCACAATCATTGGCCATGGCAGCTTGGCAACCTAGAACCCTCCCATGGGGTACTTGGCAAGTTTCACTAATTATAAATATATGTATGCAGAGAGATAGAGCAGGTGTATGTAGGCATGCATATCTACTCTACACATCTCGTCCAAGGGAAGAAATGCGTGGAATTGGTTGCGGTATCGAGTCTGTCATTAGATCAATTGATGAAGCATGAAAACCAAGAGCGAGCGGGAGACCTCAGCGAAAAGCGGGCTCATATGAGTGTATATATATATGGGTCAAGTTGTAGGTAGCTACTTCGAAATCTGTTTTTGTCTTTCTTCGATCTTGATCTTCATTCTCCGCACCTTGATGAAGAATACAACTTACTGCTAATCCTGAGCATCCAAAATAAAAGAAAATAAAGAAAATAAAGAAAATAAACCCCCCTCCCCCCGGAATCGCGTGCAAACGTAAGAGGCGGCCAGCCAGCCAACAATACCACATAGCTGGTAATATACACATGATGTACATACACATACACATACAAAACTAGAGCGTCGAGCTCGCCAACCAAAGCCTCAGTATCTCCTGTTCCAACACCTCGACCACCTCCTCACGATGCCTCATCCGCGCCAACGAAACCATCGGAACAAGCTCGCTCTCATACCAGAAGCTGTCATGCCCAGGCACCTGCTTCGAAAATATCTTCTTGATTACATCTGTCCGCCCCGTTATGCACGCCAGGTTCAGGGGGTCGAACCCGCGCAGGTTCCTGGCCACAAGATCGCACTCCTCCTGCTCCAACAGAAACTCCACCACATCCCACCTTTGGCAGTAAAGCGCCAGGATCATCGGCGTGTCGTTGTCCCTATCCACCACGTTCACCTCCGCCCCATACTCCAGCGCAACCTTCAGACACTCCAGATGGCCATACTCCGCCGCGAGCGTCAGGCAACTGCTCATGTGGTGGTTCCTCGCGTTCGGGTCCGCGCCCGCTGCCAGCAGCTCGCGCAGGATCTCCACCTGTCCGGTGCGGCAAAGGTCGAAGGCCATCGGCGGATACCCCGGCAAAGCATCCGGCACCGCGCCGCGCGACAGGAGGAGACGCACCAGGGGGGGGTGACACCTGCGGACCGCGAGCCGCAGCGGGTTCCGGCCGTTATCCTCGGGAGGCGTGTGGGGAACACCGTGGTCGAGGAGGGTCTCCACGGCCTCGAGGGAGCCGTAACGACAGGCCTCGGCGAGTGCGAGCTCCTCCAACTCGGTCGCCTCGCCTGACGCGGGGGTGTGGGCGAGAATTGTTTTTACGAGCGGGACCTGGTTCTCCCTGGAGGCCCATACCAGCGCGGGGGTGTAGTCTTTGTCGGCGAGGGCATGGCGCAGCATGATGCGGGACAGGCTATGGTGGAAGGAGCGACATGTTAGGAGAAGGTGTAGAAGGGGGCCGGGGGAGAGGTTCTCGGCAATTGTGAAGAGGATCTCGTTTGGGACGGTGGAGAGCATGATATCTATTATATTGGACGTTAGGAAGTAGTACTGTAGTAGGTACAAAGTAGATGATGATGATGATGATGATGATGATGATTGGGGTGTGCAGCTCCTTCAGCCGTAGATATGTACTCCAGATGTATGTGTGTAGAAGAGATAAGATAAGGGAGCTTGCAGCGGATGCGGCAGGGATCGGCTGGCGCTTAACTCGGTGAGGGGCCGAGATACATAGTAAATACCTACATGTACATACAGGTATATACCGAGATGCATAGTAAATACCTACATGTACATACATACAAGTATATACCTAGCTACATGTTTATAGCTACATATATAAGGTCGTCTTCAAGGAATACATGTAGTATCTCAAACAGGCGCAAAGGGAGGAGAGCGTCGAGGTACGTACGTTGAGCAAGCATGAATCTTTAAAAGAAAATCGAGCCCCACCCCGGCCCCCACGGTAGACGTCCCCCTGATACTTGCAAGGGAAGTATATTGACTACATGCATGCTACCGAACGCGAAGTTAGTATTGTCGATACAACTTGCACTGGAGCTGATTCTAAAGACCAGCTGATTGCGGATAGGAGACATATATAAAAGAGATCTATACGTATGTACTTCTCTTGGCACCAACTTTGCCAACTTGCGTTTTCGACAAGGACATCCAGCTGTCTTGGGGATTTGGACTTGATTGGTCGGGTTGTTTACATGCAACCATACGGCTATGATGGTTCCCTCTGCAGCTGGGTATCTGTATATAAATGTAGGGTTACGCCGGCAACGCGGGGTGGATGGCTCTTCTTCGAACTTAGAAAACCCAATCGGGGAGAAGCTGGTAAAGTAGATACTTAGGTGAGCATAGCCTACTATATGCAGCGGGAGATAGGTAAGAAATCGAAACCCGATCATAATCAATCCCCCAAAAAAACAACACACCAAAATATACCGTCCGAGTGATAATATATGAAGATAGGTGCTCTGTATCTAAAGAAGCAGAATGTACTAGGTCACCACGCATGTACACTATGATATACAACGGCACGCAAGGAAGAGGCACATATTTCGCAAATGGAGAACGACGATTCATTATCTTGGACCACCAACTGGAACCAACTATCCATACTGGGATCTTCCAGGAGTGATAGCTAGCAAGCAGGTATATGTTCCGGGCGATTCGCAAATATGGCGGATTCGTGAATGGACTTGACAAATTCGCGAATGGACTTGAGGTATTCGTGAATGGACTCCTAGGCTCATACATCTGTGGCTGGACCAGTGTATTCGCGAACAGCCTGGGAAAACTGTTGTAAATTGTTCAAAACTGATAACTAACAATGATTTATATCAACCCCCGACGGCTGCTACAATCCCTGGAGACCTCTAAAAAAAAACCAGCAACCCTGAAGACAAAATCTAGAACAATAGCACCTTTAAGAGCTTTAGTAAGCATCAGTGACATCCAGTGGTCTCTATTAGCCTCTCAAGGGGGCGAGTAGCGAGTATTCTGCAGGGTACGAAGGAGGTAGTAGAGGTCGGTGGGGGAGCCTGCGATAGGGGCCCTGAGTGACTCTAGCACTAGTAAGGGTCAATGGGACAAGGGGAGCAGCAGCATAGTGGTCTTCTTGAGGAAAGAATAGGAAATGATATTATATAGTAATAGACAGCGTAGGTACAGAAGACATTGCGGATTAGAGGAAAGAAGAGAAAGAGAACAGAAGCGAGGGCGAAACCTCCTAATATACCCAAGAAAATCCCAGCGATAACAAATCCAGAGTGACTCACACCCTTGTGACCAACAGAACCTGATAGAACTCAATAGAACCTTTCTGACCAATCCAACTCCTCGTAACCCAGTATGTTAACTAATCGATCCATGAAACAGGGGTGACTTTACAAAGGCATTGAACTGTATACGAGGCTTAATCGACTTCCAATTAATGGCATAGTATGGGAGTTATACAAGGAGCATATTGAATTATATGGGGAGCTATCTCGAGAATTTCTATAAGTACAAGGATATCTTTTTAGGATTCTAAGCGTACAAGAGGACGGTTAAGGATGTGAGAAATCGGATAAAGGCTTTAAATGCCTCAGGTTCTCAGAGTGGTCATCGAGGTTTAGAGAACATTCGTGAGATACGAGAAAGTTCTCACTTCAACTTCATCAAATTGCACGTTTTCTCACCCTATCTAGAACATGTCGAGCGCTTTGGGAATATTCCCCAGTACACTACCGATATCAGCGAACTCGCCCATTTGGGTCATATAAAAGAGTCATATGGAGCATCCAACAAGGTCAATGCTGCAATGCAGATACTGAACTATATGGAGCGGCAGTTGGCGTCAGAGATTCGAATTCGGAATCTGAAAGACATTGTTGGAGGTCCTGAGAGCATTGACGACATCTTTTGGAACAATCGAGATGACCTGAAGGAGTTACTTGAGATTTTTAAAATCAAAAACCGGAAAAAAACTCCAAATGAACGATGCATAGTAGAAGGAGAGTTGCTTCTAAGGCGTCTTTGCAACCCCTCCACAAAATCAGAAAGACTGTTCAATATTGCGGATGGACTGCAAATAAGCCATACCACGTTATATCGCCTGATAAAGGAGCATCCAGAGGATGCGGGATGCTCTCAGGGCTTTGCTGGAAGCTCTGAGAGTATTTTAGAGTGCCGGGTGGAGATGTTTACATATTTGCAGGTTCCGATACTAATCTTCCAATGACTGGAGGTGTACGAGGTTCACAATATTAGGTGTACAGGAAAAGCGGCTTTTAGGAAAGGGAAAATAAAAAAGCATTGGGTATGGATATCCGTAGCATTCACAGAGGAGTGGGGAGTTTTTCAGAGACGCTTACTAGTACATGTGGAGGCTTTGTTCAAGTTGCGGGACAGTGGAGGGTGAGAACATAGACTATGTATAGTGGAGCTACTCAAGGCAAAGGATCATGATATCATTGATAGCTCACATGGGCTCTTGAAGGTTTGTAGGAGGAGGGGGAAGAGGATATAAGTCATTACTATTCGGAGTATATTGGGAATGGCCAATTTGTTTGAGGTGGAGACTGGTAATTGGTTGATAAATACTAAAATAGACTTACATACATGGAATGAATTTGGTTGAAAGCTTGCAAAGCTGTGAGGGCATTTGTGAGTGCTCTGGGAATGTTAGGCCCAAATGGACTCTCTAATTCAAAATTCGTTTCATTCTGCTATGTATGCAGATTGGAAGAAGGAGATAAAGTTTCGGCCACTCAGTATCTGAGTCTGACTATCCAGCAAGCTCGTTCCAGAAGGGCAATACCAGGCCAGGTTTGCTGCTTATACATGAACATTGAGTTTTTCAGATGAGTTGTACCATAGCCTCGACCTCAAGTGTAATTATCTCTTTCACGAATCGACAGAAACATACACCTCCGCCAAAGTTTGGCTAGTCTTCACCAGTATACAGGAAAGTGCTCGTATTAGTATCCCGCAACTAACCGCATAACGGCGTTGAGGATACCCACGTTAGATATCATTTGAGAGACTTGTGCCTTCCTATCCTTTGATGACGGCATCGTATCAATACAAAGGGGGCAAAGTGAGGGTTGCCTAATCTTTAGTTGTTATGACAAATGCTTCAACTCGATGAGCATTGGTGAGTGCTCTATGAGTATTGGTGAGTATTTTGGGAGCATTCCCGGGAGCATGCGTGACGCTATGAGAAAGTTCGCTGTCCCGTAAGAGCACTCAAGAAAATTGTGAGAGCTGTGGGAAGTGCTCACGTAGTACTACCGACGTAATCAAAGGAAGCAAAAGTTCCATAAGTGTTGTGGGCGGAGTCACTCTATTCTAGCATCTCCAGAGAGGTAGGGACTCTCATTTTGGTCCAGGTGAGCAGAGTGTTGGTGAATCTCCTCCGGACGTAAGTCATATCTCTTGATGGTGCTGGAAGGTTGAGTGCTCCTAGAGCGGAGCTGAGCGCAAGCTGCGTACACTTACGGTGGCAGATGCGGTAGACAATTGGGTCGTGGAATGCCCGACAGAAAGAAAGTGCTACACCTTGGGTAATACGCGAGCTTGCTGATGCACTCATCGTTGGTTAGCTATGTCGTCATCGTGAATATAGAAAATAGCGGAAAATGTATGGCGGGTTGCGTTTGGTAAACACTCTTCCAAGTGCTGGAGATCGTGCATGCACAGGATGGATAAGTGAATATAATATCAAGCTAAAGTAACCCTTAAACTGTCACCAAAATACTGATCCTGCAAAAAAAAAGCAAATTTAGTTTGGCCTTACTAACAGATCTTCTTAGCTTTCTCATTAAATAATAGATCGTACATACGAATTAAACTTCTATATCACTGGAGTCAGCAATTGACCAGTTAAGGGATTGGGGAGGTAAAATTATATCTAAAAACAAGGTTTCAATGCCTAGGCAAGCCAATAGAACTCTTCTCATTCTTCTAAAATAGTTTTACCTCAGACTGTACAGTTGCTTCGGGAGCAATGATGGACAACAAACAACGACAAAACCGTGAGTTTCAGCCAATCATAACACTTTATATCATCCTGGGCACTACTGTTTGACTGTACAAGAAACTCCTACTCATCATCTCACCAGTCTCATTGTTACTTCAAAGCCGACTGTATAAGGCTTTGAAATTAAGTGAGTGAACAAAATAGGATATTGACTGGTGAGGATTGGTTCACTTACTTAATTCTATAGGTTTATACTGTCATTCACATTTTTTGTACTAAGTATCATTTTGCATGGATTATTTACCTCTCCACACCTAAAACATTATACAATAGAGCTAGCTCTCCCTATATCTGAATTCTAGCCTACCTTAGGGCATTAAATCACACGACTGATAGTCTCGAAACCTTGCATAATACTTGGCTCAAGTCCTTTGAACCACGGACATTTTTTTTCTCAAATCCTAGATAGAATGAGATCAAGCCAAGTGTTACTTCATTTCTCTTATGCCCATTACTATGGACCTCTTCTTCCCTATATCCTGGGGTAGCGGGTTAGGAGAAGACGCTGATGGAATGTCAAATTCGCATAGTGGAAGAGGGGACTACTGCGGTATGTCTATATGCTACATGTGATTAAGACCGACATTGCGAGATAAGTTCTGAATACATTATTCAATCAAAACTTAAAATATTGTTTGTCCACATTAGAATTTCACCCTGAGTACAATATTCGGCCACCATGGTCACTTACGCTCCCTTCGCTTCAATACTATGATATTTCCATCAAATTCTAGCATAGATCACTCTCCTTCAGGACTACTACCTGCCGCTCACATACCGCTACTTCTTGGGATTGAGTCGTTGCTTCCACCACAATCATGGCTGCCAAACCCATTACCGATGCCCCAGACCGTACTATACTACAAAGTTTTCAGTATCACAAACCCCACTGAGTAGTTCATTGCAATTTACACTATCCCAACCACTTGCCAGACTCCCTATACAGCCTACCCACAAAAGAAGCAGAAAATAGAAGTAACGGAAGCAGGGGTTATTTGTATGGGAGAACGACATCAATCTATACAAATTACAGATTTTGCGTTGAGAGGTCTAGAGTATTTTTAGTGTAGGTGTGACAGTGTTGACAAGTTTTTTTGTGTCCGGCACTTGGTTTGAGTCCGATGTAAGGACCCATCAACAAGATTTGAGCTCTACCATTATGATTGCCCATAGAATTACCAATTCTGAGCCGATTGAGATGTTTTTGAGTATTCTGGAATGCTATTCTCTTAATTTATCATTCACTTCAATCAGACTTTCCCAAACCTGAAGAGCACTATTTCGAATTCATTATTAGTGTGGTGGAATTAAAAGTATTGGCCAGTACAACGGTACAGGATAATATAAGTTGGAGAAGTCTCAAGGGGACGAGTATCGAGTATTCCACATAGTACGAAGAGGGTAGTAGAGATTGGTCTGGGAACTCGCAATAGGGTCCTAAGGGACTCTAGCGTCGACAAGGGTCAACGGGACAAGGAGGCAGTGAAGCGGTGGTCTTCTCGAGTAAAGAAGAGGAAGAGAATATTATATAGTAATAGACAGGGTAGGTACAGAAGACGTTGCGTAAAGAAAGAAAGAAAAGGAAAAGAACAAGAAATGAGAACGAAGTCCCCTAATATACCCAAGGAAATCTTAGCTATGACAAATCCAAAGTGACTCATACATTAACAATCAACAGAACCCAGTAGAACCCAATAGAACCCTTCTGAGTAATCCAACTCCTCGTAACCCAGTGTATTCACTAATCGATCCATGAAAAGAAGCCAACAGCGGGAAGGGAAAACCATTGATCTTGATACTTTACAGGGTAAGGCTAGGAAGACCTAGTTTAGATTCTCTCAGGATGAAATACATCAGCTGGCTGGGTGCTTGCGAATACCTGAAAGAGTACACAGTAACAATCTGATTTTTGAAGACAAAATCACAGCTCTGTGCATGTTATTGGCACAGCTAGCTTGGCCCAATCGATTATCTGATTTACCTCTCAAGTTCAGATGGAAGCCAGAGAGAGTCTCTCGGACTGTGAATACACTTTTACAGTTCATTCACAATACTTGGAAACACATTCTTGGTTTTGATGAACAACGTCTTACTCCAGCAAAACTATATTCTTTTGTTTTAGCAAATCAGAGCCGTGGGGCACTTCTAGATAAATGTTTTGTTTTTGTTGATGGTAAACTCCGAAAGGTTACAAGACCAATTTACGGGCAGGAGTCTGCGTATAATAAGTGGAAGCCTTGTCACACTCTGAAATATCAGGCTATTGTCATACATGATAGTATAATGATACATTTATATGAGTCAGTTGAAGGAAGCAAGCACGATGCAGCTGTTTAGCAAGAGAGTAAAATGGCTGAAATATTAGAGAGATATGTACATGTACTTGACGGTACAAGTCTTCAAATCTATGGAGATCCAACATACGGTAACAGTGAGCATCTGATATCTCCCTTTCAGTGGACAGCAATAACTAGAGGTGAACAACTTTAGGATAAAGGAATGTCTAAAGTCCGGATCATTATTGTGTGATGCTTCAAAGAAGTGCTACAGATGTTCATGGCTCTGGACTTCTCAAGGTAACAGAAAGCCCTTCTGTCTTCTATCGGCCTTCAATATCCTGTGGTTGTTATATTACACAATGCGAATATTTGCCTTCACAATATAACGTGCGTCTATGGGCAAGAAACTATGATGCCAAGGAATACAACCGAGACAAGAACGTAGTAGAAGATATTCGTAACTATGGACTATGGGGTGGCTCCGTTTGATCTGACAATCAAACTGAACCCTATGACGTAGCGTAGAACAAGAATAATATTTGTAGAGTAAAATATAGAAGAAGAAGAAACTTATATTGCTTTGAAGTACAAGACTTATCGCACGCCGACCCAACCGCCTAAAACACAAACCGAACAACAGGACAAAAGGAAAAGAAACAACAAACGCAAACAAACAAACAAGAACAAAAGCGAACACGATCGAACACAAACAAAGGTAAGGAAATTCCAGAACGACATTCAACCAGAAACAACCTATCGACAAGGAGAAATAACATATCTCAGCGAACTCGGGCGCTGGATCCATCAAAACAAATTAAAACCAAAGTTAAAAAGGTAAAAGGAAACCACCCTTCCTAATCCCGTCCCTAATCATTTCCTTCCATCCCCTCTTCTAGGTCCACCTCCGCTTCCGCCGACTCGTACCACTTCGAGAGTTGAGAATTTTTTGCAAATTGTAAGATAAGGTCCGTTTTCAAGTTTGTAAACATCCAGTTCTCCCAGGTCATCGCTCCGGGGATCTTTTCTATCAAAGGGGCGCGAATTCGAGCCCACGCTGGGCATTCCATAAGTGTGTGTTTCGCTGAGTTTTCCATACCACACTGGCATGGTTCGGGGTCTGTATATACCGCGTGTTTATCGATTCGGGTAGTTTGGCACCGGATTCGAAAAACTTTCTTCGCTTCCGTTAGGGTGAGTTTCGCAATCTTGGGAGGGGGGCGGAAATCCCCCCGGTGATGGTAGTCCGGTGTTGGTTGTGTATTCCATTCTTCCAACAGGTGGTCGCGTAGTAGTTTGTTTTGATTCCACTTGTCTCTCGCATTTCCGGGGGTTTGATATGGGAGTAGAAGGGAGGCGATTCGGTGTAGACCTGTCCCTTTGATGTTTGCTTCTCTGTATGGAAGGAGCTCGATCAGGGACTCATTGTTGGGGTGGGTTGCCTCGGTGCAGAGTATTCTGGTTCCGTACTTTCTTGAGCGATATGTTAGGAGGTGTTCTAGGGGGGGTAGTCCTGCTTCTCGGAGGAGTTTAGCTCTCTTTGTCCATCGAGGTAGGCCCGTGATGATCCGGGCAGCTTCGTTGTATAGTGGTTCGAGCGATCTAATGATGTGGTCTGCACCAGTCCACCAAGCCTCAGATCCGTAGAGTAGGCTTGGAAGGAAGCCTTGTGTTATTAGGTGATGAACTGTCTTGACTGTTATCCCTGGCAGACGGGCGGTGTTTGTGATTTGGTGGAGGGCTTTTAGGCCTTTTGCGATTGCTGCTTCGATATGGGGCCGGAAGGAGAGGGTCGGATCTATCCAGACTCCTACATATTTCAGCCTCTCCTTGGGATATATATTGATGTTATTAACTTTGACTGGAAGTCGTGGTTGTTGTGTGGATGATGTAGTGGGCCGGAAGAAGATCAGATCGGATTTATCCGGGTCGTATTTAATTTGGAGTGGCTCAGCTTTAATTAGTCTTTCTCTCATTCGTTCCTCCATTCTCTTGATTGTAAAACCTGGTGTTTTGGATATTTGCACCAGCGCATCGTCATCGATGTAAGTTGTGTCCATCTCTTTTGGGCTGCTAGTTGGGTCCAGAATTACTCCGGCATAAATCATAAATAGTACCGGAGACATGGGGCTACCTTGCAGCACTCCGGAATCATAGGGCTGTGGTTCCTCTAGTTCATGGTTGAATTGGAACTGTAGTTTTCTGCCGGTATTAAATTCCTTGCACCATTCTGTCAGATAGGTGGGGAATTTTTGTTGATGCATGATTTCCACGAGG